ATATATATATATATATATATATATATATATATAATGCTTTGACACCTTTTTTTTTCTATCTCTTTTGTTTTGGCCTTTATTTGTCCGTTCTTTTTTGTTGTTAGTTCTAGAAGTTCTTCTGATGTCTATGAACGATAGCGAGGAGTGCGAGTTAACAGAAGCGCTAAAAACTGGAGATGTACTTGTAGTTGAAGGACATAGCGGTCATAAGATTCGTCAGTACTGTGATTCTCTTCCTTTTTTAGCTGCTAGGGCAGGCATTTACAAGGACTGTTTGCCAGTGTCATTATTGGTTTCCTCTTTGGAGCATATGTTGGCTTATTTAAACCGTTGTGATTTGTCTCAACGCCACGTTTTTTTCGTTAATACAGATCTATGTCCCATCAATGCGGTGATTTTGGCGTTGCAGAACTGTGGGATTTCCAGTCGTGTGAGAAGGCTTAGATTGAGGAAACTTCATCATAACTGCCCTGAGACACTACAACTGCTACATACTATGGAGAAGGGTAATGTAGAAACTTCAAAAGTGTTTCTTTTAAAGCATTGTTATACTGGAATGGTACAATTTCCACTGATAATTCCTGAGGAAACTGACATTTCTAAACGTGTATCACGAGTATTTAACTCACTTTATTCAGTTTGTGATGCTATAATGGGAGATGTGCACTCTTTCTACGCAAAATGGATATCGGTTGATGATGGGAAACAATGGACAGATACTTACATATTTGAGCGAATATTGCCTCCCATCCCTTGCAAAGTTCAACTTATATCGCTTCGAAATGTTGTGGAATCAACTTTGCGAAGGGATGTTGTGCTTTTTGATGTTAGCAATTACCGAGAATGTATTGAGCGTGTGGCTCTTTGTTTTCCTTTTTCCCCATCAGAAATGGGTGGTACCAGTGAGGTTTTTAGTAGACTTATTGCAATTGTTAGGAATATGGGTTGGATTCTTGTGTCCCAAACTGCCACACCATCATCGTGTGAAATGCCGAACAGAGTTATTCATCTTTGGCGTGGCGCACGTGTAGCTTTTAAGGATGGAGGTATGGGGAGCGTTGTGGGTTTTAAAAAGGAAACTTTCCCTAAATGGGAAAGTAATGTAGAGTGGCCTCTTGTGGTACGTGATGATGAAAAGAGTGCCAAAATTGTACTACCCTCTCTTGTTCCCTTGCATAAATTCTCAACCTTTCAAGTCTTAGAACTACCTCTTCGATATGGAGACACAATAACTGCAGAGCAGCTATTCCGCACACCCTACTCCTCTCTTGTTGGTCGTTGCTGGTCTATGCGTCCAAGTCTCTTCATTGGTCATCTTCCTCGCTTGCGTTGCGCCCTCACATCAGTTCCATCTTTGTCACAGATAACATTAACGAGTCCACTCCCTTTGGGGATGATAATGGCGGTCGAGAAGCGATGGTAATAATTCAGAGTGTTAATATATAAATAAATCGTGTTTGAGAGTGAAGAAGGAGAAAAAATAGATAGATGGAGTTCTGCGTCGGGTTTAGTTTGTTTGTGTTTTCTTCTGTGTAAGCTTTACATTTATATTAAATGAAATGAAGAAAACGGGAAAAACAGAGAAAAACATAATTATGACATAAGGGTTTGGTAATTTCTTATTTACCTTTTTTTATGTGGGGTGAGGGTGGGTGAGGGAAGTGTTTCTGGGGTGGGTGGGATTAATAATTGTAATAATAATAGTAATGATTCTGCCATTTTACTGTTTTATTGTGTTTCTTCTGTAAAAAAAAAAAAAAAAAAAAAAAAAATCAAAAGATTTCCTNTTTTTTTTTTTTTTTTTTTTTTTTTTTTTTTTTTTTTTTTTTTTTTTAAGGGTTTTCAATTAAGGTCTCAAAAATGACTGGAAATCTTTCAGAGAAGACAGTGGAAAACAAACCAACGGAGGCTTCGGATGCCTTACATACTTCTGAAGATGGAGTCCGGAATCCACTTGATACTTTCGCCCCGAAAGTCGCTCCTATTCAGTCCATGCCGTCATTTTCACTATATGAAGGGACTCACTCACCTGCGGAGTTGAACAAAAATGATGGGGTAATGGTGGCAGAAGAGTTGGAGAAGCCAACTGAATCTACGACTAAAAAGGGTGGTTTTCTCATAGGAACTGTCCTTGCGGTTGCACTTGTTATATCTTTTGGAGTAATTATAGTTGGCGCTGCCGGTTTTGTCCCTGGACATATTGTTGGATTCCAAGCCGTCACGCGAACTGCAGAGCTTATTCAAAGTGAAGCTGTTAAAGGTGTTATTATTGTCATGCGATCAACTATATTACAGCTTCCTGATTTTGCACACACAGTAACTGCCAATTATATGCGGAACCAAACTGCAGGGTACACTGTAGACGCTTTCCCCTCTAAATCTTCAGATCTACTATATTCACTATTGAGCGTTCTTTCAACATTTCAAAATACTATATCTTTTTTTAAATTTATGTATTTGAAGGGTCTTTATGGTGTTGCGACTACACCTTTTGACCATTCTTTGACAGAAGAAGATTATCTTCTTGGTTCCAATAGTGGAGAAAGCGTAGTTGCACCAGGATATGCATATAATCCAACGACGTTGGTTCCCATAGTACCTGAATCACTTTTTAAATGGGATATTCCTGCAGAGTTGGCGAACCCAGATGGAGGGTTTAAATCAATCGTTGTACCATGGGAAAACGAAGGGAGTCAAAGGCGCTGGCTTCCTGATGAAATGAATACTACTGGTTTTTACTTTAACTTTGTAATTCCCTTTAATGTTAATAATTATTCAGGAATGTGTGAAGTAGCTATGACAAGCAATCGACTACTACAAGATTCAAAAGCTCTCATCACGACTTTGCGAGAAAACGGACGGGTTATGGTTTTTGATATGAAACGGGATGTCGTCATTCTAGATAGTTGGGGTGAACCTACTACGTGGTGGAAAGGTAATCTCAGTGACGGTGTACATTTTTATCATCTTTCACTTGGTGAAATAAATGACCCTATTGCTCGTGCTGTTGTAGGTCAGATAGAGAATCGCAAGGACCAAGTCGATTCCATTGTGGATAACACAGTGGAAATGTCTTTCCCTTATGACCATAGTACTGTTAGAGCAAGTGTTGCACGTGTTACTGATAAAAATGGATTGGATGTTTTATTATCTGTTTCGGTTCTTCAATCCGATTTTGTTTCTGGAATAGTTCAGGCACGTGTTATTATAATTTCAGTAGTTGTAGCAATTGTCGTAATATCAACCATCATCGCTTTTGTGGGAGCCTGTTACTTGGTTAAACCATTGACACGTCTTGTTACAGCACTTAAGTTGGCATCTAACTTGGAACTATCAGGTGATGATAGTAAAATGGTAAGCCGATCAAGAATATTGGAAGTTGAAGAAATTCAGACTGATTACCTAAAACTAAGACGTCAATTATTGGTACTCCGAAAATTCGTTCCAGAAGCTATTTTGGCTCGTGTTGACTCAGCTTCTGAAGCAGGTGACAATATTTCACTCACGGAAGTGGGAATTTCCAGTGTTGTAGGTGCCTCGCTTATCGGAGATGATTCTACTTCTTCACGACCTGTACAAGGTGCAAATGTAACTCGAGATGTCAGACTAAACAGTGACATCTTTAAAGAACAGTTAAATGAATTTTCACCTAAATATTGCACTGTTGTGGCTATTGAAACACACACAACAAAACTATGGGAAGACCATAGAAAATATATGAATATATTGATTTCTACAGCAACTGCACATTCGGGTTGTATTGAAATACTTGGAACAGACACAACAGTTGTAAGTTTTGGTGCTCACGCGACAGTTCCATTACATTCAGCAAAGGGTGCCCGTTTTGCCTTTGAACTACTAAATAATCTTCTTCCTTACGAACGAGAAGCTATTACCATAGTGATGGAGTCTAACGAATTTTTAGTGGGAACATGTGGCGCCATGTCACGAAATGCACGTGTCCTTTTTGGAACAGAATACTTGTTTGAATTGACAAAAGCAATGTATGCAGCTCGCTGCAAGATTTCAGCAACTTCTGGTATGGCTTCACAGTTACAGGGATACCAAACTTATCCTGTTGATTGTGTTCTTACACCTTCTTTAAGGCTACCAGTTGTACTATTTGAAGTACGATTAAAGAAAATGGGTGCCACACAGATTTTGAGTTTAGTAAAGCATTTTCGACTTGGATTTGCAGCAATGCGGCAAGGAAACTATAAGCAAGCTATATCTCATTATCAACGAATAGGAAGGTCTGATATTCAGGCTCGTCGATTTATTCGACTTTGTGCACAACACTGTATGGACAAAGATTCATCACCATATGTTCGTATAATGGGAGATTCATATGATATTCAGAGTCCTCTCCTCGACGAACCTGCAGAAGAAATGGGTGATGAACCGGTAGTTCAAATGAAAAAATCAAGTGAAGAAAAGTCTGCCTTTCAACAACAAAATGACGATAAAGAATCATCAGGGTCGAACAGTTCTGCGTTGTTTCAAATGTATAACTCATCCTCCTCCTCTGAATCTATTCAATCTCTTGCCGATGGTTGTAATGGAGCAGATGATGTGCCTATTTCCTTGACAGATATGAACCATAAAGTGTGGATTCGTTCACTGAAAAAGATCAGTGAGGGTGCTTTTAGTGCCGTTTTCCTTGGTATGTCAGAAGATGGCGTTCAGGTAGCGATCAAGTGTATCCCACGTCGGCGTCGTGATATCATGCAAGAGTCTCTGGAGGCTGAGATGAATGTTGCGTCTAAGCTGCGCCACCCTAACATTGTTCAATATGTTTCATGCAGTGTGGTTCAATCACACCTTGCTATTATAATGGAGTACGTTCCTGGTGGTTCCTTGCACACAGTAATAAAAAACTTTGGACGAGTGACTCCACTTGTTGCTCGACGATTTACTGTAGATATTCTAAATGGTCTAAACTACCTACATGGGCTTGGGATAGTGCACTGTGATGTGAAGCCGCACAACGTGCTGCTTGGGATGGATGGTGTGTGCAAGCTGTCGGACTTTGGCTCGACCATCTCCGAGGCGGCCGACATGGCCCGCACTGCCGTTGATGAGATGACGCTGCGAGGGACGGCGCTCTACATGGCCCCGGAGGTCGCCCGCGGCGGCCGCTGCACCCCGCAGTCCGACATCTTTTCGCTCGGCATTTCGCTGCTAGAGATGCTGCTGGGGCGGCTGCCATGGCGCTGGAGCAGCACCGCCCCGGAGGGAAGTGACGCGGCCGCCCTGCACACACTACTCCACCGCGATACTCTCTTTGTGCAGAACCTCTCACGCGGTTATCTGGAGCCTGAAGTGCCCGACTCACTGGACCGTGAAGTCGCCCTCTTTGTACGCGCTTGCTGCAACCCAGATCCCTCCATGAGGCCATCTGCACTAGGACTCCTCTCATATGCTTTTATACTATAATGCGCTATGGGTTGGTTATATACTTTTATGTAATTGTTTTTGCTATTATTGTATATAATTATGTTTATATCGGTCTCTTTTTGTTTGCTTTTGAATGCGATAGCATGTTTTTGTGTTTTTTTTTGTTTTGTTTTGTTCCCTCGTTTTTTTTTTCTAAAAAAAAATTGTTCTTTTCTTGAGAAAGGGAAAGATTTTTTTTTGGTTATTCTGAGGTTTCGTTGTTTTCCTTCGTTTTTCATTATATTCAGCGTTTAGTGAAACTCTGTTTTTTGTTTGAGTTTTTTTTTTTTTTTTCTTTGGTATGATTTCCGTGAATGTACTGAGAATTTTTTCCCTGAATGGATCTATGTTTCGTTTTATGTCGTCGTTTATCTTCTTCTGATCAAGGTGGATCATCTTTGTGCCCTTCCTAATATGATTTTTGTGCGTGATTTTTTTTCAAGAAAAAGAAAAAAAAGTGAATGGAGTATAATTTAGTCAAATAGTGTTTTTTTTTTTTTTCTGTGTTAGTATTACACTCTTGGGTAAAATGTTTAGAATTCTTTGGAGCCGGTAAAAGATAATATTACTCGGTCTTTCTGTATGAGTTGCCACCTCCACGCGTTTTTCTCTTATTATTATTGTTTTTTTTTTCACCTTCGTTGTTCTCTCAATCTTTCCCTGTTACCTTATTTTTCGTGTAGGTAAAGTCTTCAGAATGTTGGTCCAGGATGTTTTTAAAATGAATTTTGTTTTACCTTTTTTATTTTGAATTCTTTTTTCTTGTTTCTCTTTTCTTCTCTCAGGGGTGGTTGATAGGATTAATACCCCGCATATCAGCTTCGCTGACTTGATCATTACTTTTTATTCTTTAAGGACATTAGCGCTACTATCTGGAGTTTTTTTTTTTTTATATTTTGATTACCCTATCTGACACATTGATAAAGAGGGTGAAGAAAAGGAAAAGAAAAAGGGGTTTGCATTTCTCTTATGATTGTGTCGACGCAGGAGAAGCAGTTAAATAAAGAAAGAGAGATGCACGTATTGGCACAACTAATGGCAATGGCTCTGCAGCAACGATGCAGCGAACAGCGTGAGTTGGAGTCTATCCACCAGACCTCATTTCACAGTAGTCGTGTTCCGCATATTTCTCTGCGGGACTACATTGGTCGTATAGCCAAGTATTCTGGTTGCTCCCCAGAATGTTTTGTGTTGATGATAATCTTTATTGATCGATATGTGGCTGCAACAAACTGTCCAATCACTTTTCGCAACATACATCGACTAACGATAACAGCCGCTGCTGTGAGTGCGAAACTAACGGACGACATTTATTATAGCAACGCGTATTACGCAAGTATTGGGGGAATCAGTAATTCAGAGCTAAACAGGCTTGAACTGGAATTTCTTAAGACCATTGATTGGTACACCTGGGTGGACCCAGTTGATTATTGTACATACTGCGAGCAGTTACAGTCTCGTTACCTGAATTCTGCTTGTGTGTCTCCATCTGATGCCCTTGGAGTTGTTACTACAGCTGGGAATGGTTTAGAAAGTTAGTAATACTTGTTATACAGTACAGCTGATATCGCATTTGTTCATTATCTACATTTTTTTTACTTTTTTTTTGCATCTCACTTGTTTCTTAAGTTCTGTGTGCAACAGTTGTGCAAAGAAGGGGAAGTAACTTGTCGGTTTGTCTGCCCTTGAAAGAATGAGAGTGAAAAAAAAAAGAGAGAAAGATAAAGAATTATGTGTCCCATCTTTTTAGTTGGTACTCTACCTAATGCAGTGAGGGAGGATGCATGTTCCGTGTTGATCTTCTCTTGATTATTTATTATTATTATTATTATTATTATTATTATTATTATTATTATTATTATTATTATTATTGTTGTTTTTCTTTTTTTTGCTGGATGAGAGCAACAGCGGGGCTGTTGGTGCGTTGTATCGGGGAATACACATCTTTTCTATCTTAGCTGGTCGTTATCAGTGTAGGGATATGCTGAAGATAGTTATTTGTCCATTTTTATTTATATTTTTGCGGTGCCCCTGGTGGCGTGACTTGTTTCAGTGTGCCCATGTACGTTTTGTGTGTATTCCTTGCATATGGATATATACATATATAGATATATTAGCACATATACATGTATACGCATATGTTTTATCCTCTATGGTCTTCTTTGCCTAGAGATCCACATATGGATCACGCCATCTATGCTTCCCCTTTAGGGGAATGAGTCTGCACATGTTTCGCCACACAATTGCTTTTTGTGGGTTTCACGTATTTATCTGTATGTGGTGCGTTTTCTTACACCCTTTATTTAAAAATCTATGTATTTTTTTTTTCTTTTTTTCTTCTCTTCTTTGTCTCTTTTTTCTTCTTCCTCCTGTGATATTTGTGAATTTGGTATAAGAACTAGTAATTTCTCTTTTTGTTTATTCATTTGTATCCGTGATCTATCAGAAGAATGCAGCTTGGTTATGCAATGCGTGGTGGACGCGGCGCTGGTCGTGGCCGTGGTGGAGGGTATGACTACAGAGGTCCGATGCAGCAGCCATACATGGGGAGCAGCGTTCCCACCGATACATTGTGTGTGCGTATCAGTGAAATACGACAACCTGTAACGGAGGATATGATGTACCGCGTGTTTGGCAGCATTTCTACGAATCCTCGACGTTTGCAGATTACTCCTTCTACAAATCCCAATGAAACCGTTGTCATGGCACAGTTTTCCGATTCCTATGCTACCCAACGTGTAATGGAGAACCTCAATAATCGAAATATATTCAATGATGGAAACAAGATGGTTATGAATTATGCCACATGGGAGCCTGCCCCAGTGCTTCCAGCGCCACAGACAGCTGTCTACGGCACTCCTGCCGCGGCTTATGGAGGAATGCCTCCCGCACCTAATATGATGTATCCACCGCAACAACAACAACAACAACAGCAGCAGCAACAGCAACCACAGCAACAGCAACAACCCTCTGTGTATGTACACCCACGTCAACAGATGCCCCATATGCAGCAAGGCCAACCTTCGCAAGGGCGTGTAGGATTTGATCAGCCGCGTGGTGGTCGCGGTCGTGGACGCGGCGGTGCGGGTGGACATCGCGGTGGCCCCGGGGCGATGGGCTTTGACCCAATGGTAATGGGATACCCGCACATGGGATACCAGGGAATGCCGGGCATGATGCCCATGGCGGGCGGTATGATGAATGCATATATGTCGCAGAAGCCGCTGCCGAACTCGCCGACGGTGTTCCTCAGCGTGACAGTAGTGCCAGAGACGGAGCCGCTGCAATCCATCTTTACACTTCTTGAGGCCTTTGGTGGGGTGGTGACAATACGACGCAATCACAACAAGAAGGAGATCTTGACAGTAAAGATGGCCTCCATTCCTGAGGCGGACAGTGTGGTGCAGTATATGCGGAAAGTCCCCTTCGCCGGTGGCACCGTCAGTGCAAAGCGCTTTCCGACATACAACGAGCGCACGCCCTGCACAGACGACGGAGATCCACGCGATCCCGCCACCGCTCAGTACGACTTCACCACCGCACGTCACCGCAGTCCTGGACAGCGCAGCAAGTGCCACCCATCCAATGTGCTGAAAGTAACGGGATGCGCAGGATACTCCGAGGCAGATGTAATGACATACTTCACCAGCGAAAACTTCTTCCCCGACCGTATCATCAAAGATGACGAGGGTGCCTTCACGCTCCAGATGGCAGACACAGATACCGCCGTAGCACTGCTGGTCAAGTGTCATAATAACGTTTGCGGCGAAGAGCGTTCTAACGTGCTGTTTGTGGAGGGTCCAAAGGAAAACAACGACAACAACAATGGTGATAATGCGGAGGGGAATGGAGACAAGAACGGTCATGCGTAAGGCATGGTATCAACGTCCTGACCCACCTTCACCGCGGTGAAGGAATAAAAATATGAGCGAAAAAGAAGGGAATATATATATATATATATATATATATTTCTATGTGTGCTTATTTATTTATATAATAAAAAAAAAAAACAGAGATAAGAAAACAAGAACAAAGAGAGAAAACTAATGGGTGCCTACTGGATTTCCCATTGTTTTCCCTCTAATAGAGTGTAATGAGGGCATTCTCATGCATGCATATCAAGAAGGAAAGTATGGAAGTAGGAGAAAAAAAAAAAAAGAAAGCACAATTAAAGGTGATAGTATTTCTCTCTATGTCGTAATAAATTAATTTTGTTTGTTGCTCATGCATGTTGATTTCTTTTCTTTGTAATCTGTGAATGTCTCAACCTTTTTCTTTATTCTTTTCGTCTGCATCTTGTATCATTGTTTTTCTTCTTTTTTTTTTCTTTTTTTTCGTTTGCTTCATTTCTTTTCTTTATTTTTTCTGTGTTTTTCATGTGTCAATGAAATTACGGGTATACTACCATAAATTACCATCGCACTCTCTACTCTCTTATTTGCTTCCATGTTTTGGCACTTGTGTTACTATCGTTCTGTTGTCCATGTGTCTACTCGTTTTACTTTTATGACTTGATTTGTTGTTATTTTCGGAAACTACCAATTACAGGTGAACGACAGAAATACGATTGTTCTCACATCATCCGTGCAGCAGCAAAATTGGAGGGTTCAGCGAGGAAATGGTACTTTTTTTTGTTTTAGCGTGCAATAAGTTTTAATTATTTCTCTACATTGCATATTGTACAAAATGCTGTAGATATATATATATATATATATATATATATACATATGTTTTTTTTTAAAGAAATATTTTGTTGTAGTTTTAGTGTCGAACATTATCATCATAATAGTCTTCGGAGGTTTGCTTGATTGTTTCTTCTTGCATTGTGATTTCGTTGAATGGATCTGTACCTTTCAGAGAAGATTGTGTTTGAAAAAAAGAAAAAAAAACTTCAGTTCCAAACATCTAATTATCTGACGATGAATTAAAAAAAAAAAAAAAAAAGAATCGTCTTGGTAGATCGTAAAGAGGTGAAACACACATTTCTATTTGCGTCGTGTTTATTCTATTTTGGACGTCTATTAAGTGTTATGTGGCTCTTATCCTGTTTTCTCACTTAGTGACGTTTTTTTTTTTTGTCTTTTTGCGCTACATTTCCTATTACTTATACTGGGTACTCGCGGTGCAGACTTTGTTGTTCTGGGCTTCTATCCTTATTTGAATTATGCTGATTTCTCAGGAGTTAATCTAAAAATAAAAAAAAAATAAAATAAAAAAAAAAACATACGCACAAAAACACACAAAGATGTATACGTGTGCATTTCTTTGCTTCTCTGTTTCCTAATGGCGATAATAGTTGTAATAGTGCAAAAAACAGTAAGATTTGCAATTTCCAAGACTTCTCTATAGATGACGTGGTATCACCCGCTTCTAATGAAGGTGTATATTCCTCCCTAGGTATGTATGTCTTGAGTATGTTTTCTTTTTTAATTGTTCTTTATTAATTTTTTTTTTTTATAGTTCTTGTTACCATTTCTTGTGGTGCGTTTTCTCTGTTGCTTTTTGTTTCTTCTTTTGTTCTTGTTCCGTTATTCGATTAGCATTAGACCATGGTCACCGTACCGTATCCGGTTCCCGTGGGAAACTCGGCGTTTTTCTGAGTGGGATATACGCACGATATTTCTAATTCCTTCTGGAGTTCACTATACAGAATTGATGCTACCTTGCCTTGGTTTCTTTTCCATTGCTTGTGGCCACGCAAATTGGTTGTATAGCAGTGAGATGAGCCGAGTGTGAAACCTTAGTCTATGTTTGTCGGTGTGTATGTTTCTCTGTGAAGTACGGTTTGTGTGACCTGCTAGTGGAAGATTTATTGTAATATATATATGTACTTATTTATGGTGAGAGAGGTGGAGATAGAGAGATAGAGATAGATAGATAAAGAAGAAAAACAGCAACAGTAATAACTATTCTTTTTTTTCTCCATTCATTTTTTTTTCTTTTCGTTGAACTAATCTCTATACACGTTGTAACTGTCGTCGGGTGCTCTCAGTGTACAAGGCGTAGTTGTTGCTGCGTAACGGAGATAAAACAACAGCAACAAGGCAAACTAAAAAGAAAAAGAAAAAGAAAAATTAAAAAAAAAAACGACACACATTTTCACAAGCTGATAGAAAACACTATAAGGAAAAATATATAAGTTAAAGAGGCAAAAACCAGGAAAAGAAGGAAGAATCCGCCTTGTGAGGAAAAAGGAGGAATCCCCCATCCCCCCAAAAAACAAAAAAACAAAAAAAAACGTGAGTAACAAGAAGAAAAGCAAATAGAAGGACCGACTTCGTGACTGCATTAGAGAAGCAAAGCAAAAAAAAAAAAAGGCAAATACACCGTTCTCTACGCGCAATAAACTATACGAAACGGAGAGGAAAACGAGGCGAAATACGCAAACGAAATAAAAAAAAAATAAAAAAATAAAAAAAAAAAAACGCAAACAAACGGAAGAAAGTGTAAAGTGTCACGGAGTGACTTGGGCGTACACGAGTGCTTGAAATCCTATTCATAGTTTGGTACTACGGAAAGTCCCCAACAGTGAGAAAGGAAGCAAACGGAAAGTAAAAAAAGAAAAAAAAAAGAGCGAAAAAAGAAAGAAAAAAACCAATTTCGTGTGCTTGGCACTAAAAAGAGATCGTCTGAACGGGGTGAAACAATAAAGTAAGAAAAAGGATAAAGATGATGTCTGTTGTCTTGAGAAACATTCCCCCTCACTGTCAGGAAGATGATCTTCGCCGAGCACTGCTTATCTACGGCACCGCAGTAAACGCTGCGATTATTCCTCATATGCGTCAAGCAACTGTAACGATGCGTACACCGCAAGAGGCCCGCTTCCTTCTTCACCAGGGAAGTATTGATCTCTTTGGACAGTCTGTGACCGTGGAACCCGCATCCTACGCTGGAGGTGGTAGTGCGCCGGCGTTGATGCCCCCACATCTTGGTGGGGCCCGCATTAATGTTGTGGTGGAGAAGTGTACATATCCAGTGACTAAGGATTTACTCTCACAAGTTTTTGGCATGGTGGCACCACCCGCAAATGTGGTTTGTGGCCCTTCAGGTACGACTACAACTGGGTGGGTTGAGTATGCAGATATTTCTACGGCTCGACGTGTACTGCAGCAACTTAATAAAAATCCTATTTACCCTGATTGCTGCTTTATGACTTTGACACTTGATCAAAGTGGTGTCGCTCCCTCTAACATGGGTAACTACGTTCCAAATTCCATGCCTTATGCACATCAACAACAACACCAACACCAACAACAACATCCAATGCAACCAATGCATTCTATGCCATTCGCTCATGCAAACTACGGTGCAATGCCTGGTAATATGATGCAACGCGGTGGAATGGGAGGACGTGGACGTGGACGTGGGGTTGCGATGGGTCGCTACGGTAATCCATACGCCCCAGCAGGAGCGGGAGCAGCAGCAGTTGCAGCAGCAGCAGCAGGTCCGGCAGCACACGCTTCATATGGAGCTGGTTCATACGGTGTTCCTACAACTGATGCTGTGGTTATTGTCAGTAACGTACCAGAGACAGTCGCCCTGCATGACCTGTGGGTACTTCTTGAGGTCTATGGTAATGTGAACTCTCTCAAGAGACAGTTCAGTTCAAAGACAACAGTAGTTGCCCATTTTCAAAATGTTCATGATGCTCGTCTCGCTGTACAGCATCTACAAGGTTGTCCATTCCACGGTGCTACACTTTCTTTGAAACATTTTGCTGGATATGTGGAGCGGGGTGGAAGGACAGAGTGGAACAGTGGTCCTGCAACAGATCCTGCAACTCATGCGGTTCTTTTTTCAAGTGGATATCATCACCGAACAAAACCCACTGCCGCATTTAATCCAACAGGACGTGTTCGACCTGGCAAGAATCTTTTTATTTCTAATCTTACTGAAGCAATTACGGATGATGATATAAAGGAAGTATTTTCCAAAGCAGGCTTTGAGCTAGAAGGGTATTTTCGCAAGAGCCCATCTGTTGCTATTGTTAGCTTGAACGATATAGAAACGGCTGTACATGCTCTTATTGCGGTGCACTCTCAGCAACTGAAGGAGCGATTTTTGCGGGTGACATTTTCTCATTTCCCTCCAGGTCCCCGTAGTAACGGTGAGGAAGAGAATGAGACTGCACCACAGGAACCTAAGGAGGAGAGTGTTGTGGAGGAGGCAAACGAGGAGAAGGAGTGAGTTTCTCTCCATTCGCTTTCATTAGCAGCTCTTTTTTTTTTTCTTTTCTTTATTTCTATTTGATTCATTTTTTTCATTTTTCTCTTAACAAAAAAAAAACGAAGAATAACAGATGATAGATAAACTATCATCTATTTTTCTTTCTTTCACTTTCTTCTTAATTCTTTCTTCACTCTCCTTGCGTAGCAAAGAGCGAAAAAAAAAAAAATTATTTTAAATTACTGCAACTTCAAGTGACGTATAGAGGGGGTTGTACTTGCCGGATAATCTGAAAGTCTAAGAAGGTGGCAGGTGCTGGCTGTACTTCTTTTCTTAAAAAAAAAAATTTATTTATATGTATGTTTGTGTTTTTTTTTTTTTTTTCTCTTCTTTTTTCTTTAAAGTCTTCTGTGTTGTCGCATAGTGGAGGAGAAAGGGGGCAGACAGTATGGACCCGTGGGAGCCGTCGCTTCCTGGCGCAGGAGCTCAGCGTGTTGTGATGTTGTTGCGACTGTACATGCGCATGGGGTACTACAGTTCACTCTCTGTGCTTGTGGTGGACGCTCTTTCGTTAACGTTTAAAGCCGATGGGGCAACCGTGTCTGAGCTCAGCACGTACTTGGGTCTCACACCAGACAGTGTGGAAGCGGGAATTGAAGGAATTCCAAAGGAAGTGTGCTGTACATCAACAGATCTTCATCAGGAGAATATTGGAGATGATTCGGAAGAGACAAAAGGAAAGGGTACACGTAAAAGAAATCGACAAGAGGGTACAGAAGAAAATGCTTTGCGATATTATATAAATTATTCTGCTCTCTTACCATTTGTTTTCGCACATGTTTCCCATATGTTGCTGGCTCTTTCTCAAATACCTGTACCACAACAGACAGGAAATGGAGGTTTAGGTGGAGAAATTGCCTCGTTAAATATATCTCCAACACTTCGACGTTCAGATGGAAAACGTGGACTTTGTTGTACATCTTGTCGCTACTGGATGGCACTAAAAGATATGCGATTAACTATTTCACGATGTCCTCTTTGTCAATCAGATATACTTGGAAGTATACTACGCGGAATTAAGTCTCGTTATGATGAAAAAATAAAAAGAGGTCAGCCCTTACTTTCCTTTGGTCCTTTACAGCAGCGAGGTTTAAGTTCAAGTAAACCGACAGAGACTGGTCAAAATGTCACATCTAATGTGACTGGAGATGATATAGCCGATTATCCTCTTGCACGCGATCCTTTTCTTGTGCAACAAGGACTTTTTTTTCATTTTCTGTTTTCTCAACCTTTTGTTTGTATTAACGATACTGCTTTCGTTATAGATGTTGATGAAATCATGACGAAAGCGGAGTATGAGTATCGATCGATGCATAGGGCAACCGTTCTGGATCAATTCCGTCTCGTCCACCGTAATGCTGCCGCTATTCGAGTAAAGTTAATTGATCAGGAAAAATTGGACGCCGATAGATGTCATTTGAGTGTGATGAAACTAAAAAAACGTGGACAGTTGCCTCCATGGCTGCGACCAGCCCCATTGTTTCCAGAAGGCGATGAACCTCCACCGCCGATTGAAAAAGAAAAAGATGAAGAAGATGTTTCAGCAGACATTGCAGGAACGCGGGGAACAAAGCGGGTACGGCGAGAACACGACATTGTAGCAAATGCAAGGTACATTGCACGTCAGTTTTTTGATGATGATTACGATGAAATTATTCTTCATAGATCTTCACCTAGATCTTGATGTTTTTTTTTTTTTTCTTTCTTTCTTTTCTTACGGAAGGCCGAAATAATAATGCTGTCGTTTTTATTTTTCATTGTATTTTTTCTTTTCTTTTTTTTCTTTGTCTTCAGAGGAATACATTTCTTATTTGTTCATTATTATTGTTTTTTTTTTTCCTTTCATTCTTTTTATTTCTAATCTTACAGTTTATATTATTATTTATTTATTTATTTATTTATTTTTTTTTCGTGAGCGGGCAATATCTATATATGAAACCTAAATGAGCAAACCCGTTGACACTGTTTCGTTTAGCAACAGGGAAATGTCATTCTACAGTTGTGGTAGTGACTCTGTTCCAAGGCAGAGATCTGGTAATCGTGACAGTGGAGTAAGAGAATGTGACCTTAATAGTCTTCGAGAACTCGTGACACTCTTGGCTCACGATGAGGTTTCTCTTACTAGTATTATAAATGGCTTACCAGAGGAATATCACGATGCTTTAGCTGATCACTTATCAGATCTTCTCCACATTGCATCTGAGGTTGCTCCTGTACAGACTTCTAGAATTCTATCAACTTTACTACAGATGGAACTTGATCGGGCCACTCAAAGACGAAATGATATTCATACTTTCATGAGAGGAAATGGAGTGGTTCCAAAGGTGTTTGAAGGCCTTTTGGCTAAAGTGACAAGTGCACATGGTGGTCTTGAAGAGCAGTTGGTAAATTGCTGTATAGATTTATGTGATGAAAGTCTTTTATCAAGTATTACTAGACACCCTGAAGAACATTTCACAACTTCTATGGATAGTGTCACAACTACATCTTCTATTCTTCTTGAAGGTCTTGATTACTTTAATAGTGAGGCTGCACAGATATTGGATGGGATTGATGATAATTGTTATGATAAAAGTGCTTATGCAACAAGTATTACAGTTATGTCACTTCGTATTCTTGATGTTGTACATAATTCTTTGCGTGAATGGCCTTGGAGTTTGCGTGAAAGTTTACGAGATTTGTTAGAGACCATTGAGTTTCGTTTAGATAAAAAATCAGATTCTCTCTTAGAAGTAACAGATAATGAAGAGTCCAAATTAACTTCTCTAGGACAGAATGTAATGGCAACAATTGTTGTACTTAGAGCGGTGATTCCGGCATTACTTGGAACTGTTCCCCGTTTACTTCCAGGTGGGAGTTGCTTTGATAGAGAGTACATTTTACTTCAAAAACGTTTCACAATGCTGGCAAAAGTAATACAAAAAGCAGCACATGGTTTGTTATTTAATGGTCCACATGAAAAGGGAATGATTGCTTTTAACAATGAACTTCCCACTCTTACACAACATTGTTTAAATATTTTTTTATGTATTTCTAGAATTACAGAGCCTCCTGTTCCATCTCAAGATAAATCTATTCTTGAAAGTGCGACGGAAGTAACACTAAAATTCCAAAGATTTCTTGATAATCATTTGGTTTACTTAATGCATGCATCGATGAAGTATAATCCTATGATGGAACCCGTTTATTGGACTCGAATAATGCGTCTCACCGCATACGGAGAAAATCGTCTTGCTTGTATAGATCGTTTTATCCCACCAGTACTATCTGCTGAGGTGGTGTGTCCTCCTAATGTTGAAGAGTCTTCTACCGCGTTGCGAAGATCACGACGTGTACTTGGTTTGCTTTCGCGTTTAGGTAATATTCGATTACCATATGAAATGCATACAATAACTACTGGTGGTGGAAGTATTATTAGTACTAATAGTAATAATAATAATAATACTAATAATAATACTAATCGTAGTGTTATGGATTTACAACATGAGGATATATTTAATGAGTTGATTTCATATGCCCTTAAGGTAACTGTTAATCCAAACATCACTGGATTACACGTCTGTTTCTGTAGTATTATTGGATTAGCGGCTGATAACACTGTCGCGATTGTTGTTTATTGGGATTTGTTACGTATCTATCTTGAAAATTACTACAGAAATGAAGAGACAAAACTACTACAAACACAATGTCCACAATTTTACCAATACCGAAAGCATTCTGGTCACCGCGATGGTGACTCACTTGCGTTTCTTTTCCTTCTTGTAGATGTGGCTATAAGAACAAAAAAATGTAAAGGATTTCGTCTCATTCTTCTTGCTGGAAGGTCAAAAACTTGTTTCTCATGGATACGAGATGCTCTTTCTTTGCTACCATCAACACATGCCACAGGATGTGTACAAGTATTATTATTTGGAACTGGTGATGTTCACGTTTCACGTAACGAGTGGGGTGTTGGTTCTTTTGATGTGATGGTTATTAATCGAGCGAGGGAACTGTTAACAGTATTGGAAGAATTACATCTTTGTCTTCCTCTTGGTCCTGCAGATTACCGAATGTTGTTAGAGGAAAAAAAAGAACAAGAAGAACAAGAACAACATGAAGAAGAAGAAGAAGAAAAGAATGAAGATGACAAGAAGCAAAACAAAAACAGGGTATTTAAGAATAATACTGAGAAACTGTTTCCATCTCTTTCTGGGGAAATAATTCATAGAGCATTAAAAAATGAGTTATCAGCGTGTGGTACACTTCCATTACTTTTATTCGAAACTATAGAGAGACAAGATGTACGTCTTTGGCCTTTAGCATTAATGCGTGATGTGTTTGGGCTTATTTGTACAGCCATCCTTCCTCTCACTGTCTTTACTACGGTTATCAGGGAAGATGTACAGCCATTGCGAATGCAGGGGGTTCCTGCAAGTGTTACGGGTAATTTCCGCATGCGTGCAGTGGAGTTTTTCTATAAATTTGATGGTGATCTTTTGCTACACTTAGAGATTGTGCCCAAGTGGTTACGTGAGGCGATATCTCATAGTCGTAAGAATCATCGCCCTTCTTGGCGACGACCACTTCAAGTTGAAAGTCGTTTTCGCATCTCTTGGTTCTCCGTATCTCATGAACATGATGGGGATGTAGAGGCTAATGAAAGTAATTTATTGCATGTTCTCTTTTTGATATCACGACGTTATTACACCCTGCGTGAATTTCATATACGTGATGGGTCTTCCATATTAGAAACAGGTTGGCCAAACATTATTCTAAGTTTGCGTCATTGTACACTTGAATCACTCTGGAGACTCTTGTTGTATAATTTGTGGAGTACTTTTGCGTGGGTACGACAGATATTACCATTACAGTGTCCTATTATGTGTATGGTAACAGCGATACGATCATACTTGAAGGAGTCTTTTCAAACTTCTTCTTCTTCATCTCATGGTAATGATGATGATCTTAAGGATAATAAAATATTACTACATGTTGCTGCTGACGCTCTCGCGTCTACTACTATTACCGGAGTTCATCTTGTTCAATTTCTTGTGGATATTTGTAGTTTTGTACGTTTAATTGACTTTGAGGGACTTAGCTCTGTAAACAGTGAAGAAGGTGGTTCGTCTGTTCAGAGAGAGGATGCTATGGTAGAAAGTGTCCTTCGCATTATATTTCGTAACGAAAAAATTGGTGATGCTGAAATGATTGTTGCACGTTTAATTGCATCACAAGGTATACCACTCTTAAATGCAGTACAATGTCTTCCGTTAAGAAACAAAAGAGAATAATAATGTCATTATTTTCTATATGATACACCTACAGAGAAGGAAAGAGAAAGAAGGAGAGATGGATTGTGAGGGATTGTATACACCTTATAGTATTTCTGTCTTAACTTGGAGGAGAATCTCTTGTTATATATATATATATTTTTTTTTTCTTTTTTTGTGTGTTATTGTCCACTCCTTTTCATCTACGTACGGAACGTGGGAATATAATATTGCTGCTTTGTTTAGTGTTTATCCTTTTTTTTTTTTTCCTTCACTGCGGTAAAGATTATTTTTTATTTTTTTATTTTATTTGTCGGTGGATACCCGGAGGATGGATTCGTGTGTTTTCTTTGCTTTTTCTCTTTGTTCCATTCCCCTCTATTTTTTTTTTTTCCTTTTTTATTGCTTCTCTAATTTGTGTATAATTTATTTGAATGAAAAGGTGGGGATATCGCGTGGTGCACACACACAAAAATAAAAAAAAAAAAACAGCGAAAAGAACAAAAAAAAATAAGATAAACATAAAAAAAAAAATGAGTACTGCGGAGGGTTCTGTTTTGCGAGCACTTTCTACTGCGGATATTGTTGAGTCCGACATTTTGGCTGATGAATTGCGGGTGGACCATCAGGACGTTGTGGGTGCGATCAAGTCGCTGGAGTCCGACGGTTATGTGGTGAGTGAAATAAAGACAAAGCCGAGATGGAAGTTGACGGGCGAGGGCCTTAAGATCTGCGAGAGCGGCAGCCCCGAGTTTCTTCTCTGGCAGCTGCTGGAGAAGGGCGAGATGTCGCAGGAGGCCGTGGCGGAGGTGTTGGGAAAGGAGATGATGGCCGTGGCCATGTCGAACGGCATGAAGGCGAAGATCTTTACACTAAACAAGAAAGATGGTAAAGTTACACTGAGCCGCTCCTCCGCTGTTAAGGAGTTCCACGACAGTGTACGTCACGCACTGACACAGGCAAAGAAGGATGAACACGTTGACCCAAAGGATACTGAAATGCTTAAAAAACGTAAATTGGCAACATTAGACAGTTTAAAGGTTTTCTGTGTGCGAAAAGGACCTAATTACGCCTTGGAGCGCCGTGCAAAGGCTGCCGGAGATCTAACAAAGGAGATGTTACAAGATGGTTCATGGAAAACAACAGAGTTTAAGGAGTACAATCTTGCTGCGGAAGGACGTGAGGTAAGCTGTGGTCAGTTACACCCACTACTTAAGGTTCGGCAGGAGTTCCGAGAAATATTTATGGAACTTGGTTTTCAAGAGATGGAAACAAATCATTGGGTGGAATCATCATTCTGGAATTTTGATGCACTCTTTATTGGACAAAATCACCCTGCCCGTGATGTGCAGGATACTTTCTTTGTCTCTAAACCAGCAACCCATGAGATAAGAGATCGTGATGTAGTGGATCGCGTACGCCAAATGCATGAAGAAAAGTTCAAATATACATGGAGAGAAGAAGAAGCACAACGTAACGTTTTGCGTACACACACTACAGGTTGTTCAGGTTTTTGGCTCCATCAAATTGCAAAGCTTTCTCCGTTACTGCCAGATGGACGTCGGGAATTCCGTCCTGGCCGTTATTACAGTATTGATCGTGTGTTCCGTAATGAAGAAATGGATCGGACACATTTATGCGAATTTCATCAAATTGAAGGATGGGTTATTGATCGCAATATCTCCTTATCGAATATGATGCATACATTCCAATTATTCTTTAACCGTATTGGAGTGGAAAAGCTGCGCTTCAAGCCTGTTTTTAACCCTTATACGGAGCCATCGATGGAGATATTCGGTTGGCACAAACAGTTAAAGCGCTGGATTGAGGTGGGTAACAGTGGTCTCTTTCGTCCAGAAATGCTTGAGCCACTTGGTTTCGACGAGGATGTTACGGTAATGGCTTGGGGACTTTCACTCGAACGGCCCACTATGATAAAATACGGTCTATCGAGTATTCACGAGCTCTTTGGTCATAAGGTAGACTTACGCTTCATCAAGAAATCTAAGTTGTTGCGTTTCTAAAGTGGAAATGAAAAAGAAAAAAAAAGAAAAGAAGGAAGGAAATACACAATGGAAGGAAAAGAATGAGACTATTGCCTACGTGAGGGAGAGAGAGAGAGAGAGAGAGAGAGAGAGAAGAAATGAGGAAGAAAGAAAAGGAAAAAAAAAAAAAATGAAAGTATAACGATGGGCAGGATGGGAATGTTATAACAACATCTCTTTCATTGTTTATTCCTTTTTTTTTTTTCATAACGTGTTATTCTTTTTGTATACGAAGAAAAGAGTAAAAACAACAACAAAAAAGGAATAACTCTCTTCCTGGGGCTGTTTCCTGCTTTGCTCCAGTGTTGTTTCTGTTTTTTTATTTTCTATTCTTGTTTTCTGTTGTTGTTTTTGTAGTAGTAGCAGCTAATACTGCTGCATGCCATTACTTTTTATGCTCTTTATGTATTTGATACAATTTACTGTTTTTCTCTTCTAATGATATTTCTTTGTTTCTCTTCTTTTTTACTTTTTTTTTTTTTACTTTTCTTTTCTCTATTCCCATACTTGCCACACAGTGTGGAGAAGAAGTTCAGCGATGGTAAAGCCACATCTTCGTCACTACTGCGTCGTTGGTCGCGAGACCCCATCTGAGAAGAACCCCACACCAACGGTGTACAAATTCGAAGTCTTCGCCCCCAACTTCGTTGTTGCCAAGAGCCGCTTCTGGCGTATGATGCGTGAGAAGAATAAGGTGAAGTCCACACACGGTGATGTGCTCTCATGCCGTGTGGTGAAGGACCGCAAGCTGGCGGCCCGCAACTACAGTGTGGATATCGCCTACTACAGCCAGCGCTGCGGCTACACACACATGGTGAAGGAGTTCCGGGATGTGTGCAAGGCCGGTGCGGTCAGTCAGGCTTATCACGATCTCGCCTCTCGTCATCGTGCACGTTATCACAACATTGAGGTGCTTGGCGTGAAGAGCGTGCCGAACCACGCCGTGCGTCGCCTCAGCGTGCAGCAGTATCACGATAAGGACTTGTCCTTCCCACTGCTGCAGCGCCGTGTCAAGGCGGCTCGCAAGGACCGTGCTATCTTTGTCAAGAAGAACACGAAGCGTGCTGTGGTGGCTTAGAAGCTGTCTTCACTACACAAATTCTTTTTTTTATTTTTTTAAAAAAGAAAAATTTGATATTGGCGTGTTTTTTATTTATGTGGATTAAACACATATTAGAAATGATATGCGTACCTGTATTTATATGGGTAAGTTTTTCTTTTGTTTCTGTTTGTATGTGTTTATTTGCATTTGTCGCCTTCATCTTCTATTCTGTCTTTTTTTTTCTTGTTTTACTATTTTTTTCTGATTCTCTCCTTGTGGGATTGTATCACTCTGTTTCTATTTTATCTGAAAATGTGCACTCTTTTCTCTCACTCTTTTTTTTTGTTTTTTTTTTGTTTTTTTTGTTTGTTTTTCTACTTTACCGTATGAATTTGGTACTTTTGGAGTCATTTTCTTACATAACAATTTATCGCGGAATCCATTACTAGAGTGACGCAAAGCGAATAAAGGAATTAAGTGAAAAAAAAAATAAAACACATAATACGGTGGCAACAACAACAACAACAACAACAACAAGTCTTGTGTGTGGATTGTTGTGTCACCATACTCACTCTCTTTGCGCTGGTTTTCTGCTACTCGTGGATAGGGAAGTAAAGCAAGAAAAAAGAAAAAGAAAAAATAATAATAGTATTGCATCCAAAAAAAAAAAAAGAATAACAAAAAGGGGAAAAGAAAGAAATAAAATAATTAAAAAGAAAAAGAAAAGACACATTGAAGTCATTACCAATACTCTTTGCTACGTGGTGTCCCATTGTTCCTTCCCGCATTATCCCCTCAAAACATCACTCTATCGTGCAGAACATAATGTCGCAGAGTAAAGTTCACCTCAACGCCAACAATCCGGATGATCCATATCCACTCTACGCCACTACACCTGTTCCTCCAAAGAAACCGGGTACTGTGCGTATTTGGGTGGACGGCTGCTTTGATATGCTGCACTTTGGTCACACCAATGCGTTACGTCAAGCCGCTTCTCTCGGTCATGAACTCTTTGTTGGTTGTCACTCAGATGAAGAGATTATACGATACAAGGGTCCACCTATTATGCATGAAGAAGAACGTTATGAAGCTCTTCGTGCATGTAAATGGGTAAATTTTGTAGTTGAAAATTATCCTTATGTTACGCGGCTTGCTGATATAGATCGCTTTGAAGTGGATTATGTTGTACATGGTGATGATATTTCTGTTGATCTTAATGGTCGTAATTCTTACCAGGAGATTATCGATGCTGGTCGGTTCAAAGTTGTTAAGCGAACAGAGTGTATTTCTACCACCGATCTTGTGGGACGAATGTTGTTATGCAAGAATGGTAATTTGTTAAGCCAAGATGACAAAAAACTCTTGGAAGATGAAGCCACAAAACACTCTGCATTCCACTATTTAACTACATCAAGAAAAATTGCTCAATTCAGTAACAACCGTGGTCCCAATCCCGGTGATAGAATTGTTTATGTGGATGGTAGCTTTGACTTATTTCACTATGGTCATATTCGTGTCTTGCAAAAGGCACGGGAATTTGGAGATTACCTCATTGCTGGTGTCCACGAGGATAGTGTTATCCGCAAGGCAAAGGGTGAACATTTCCCCATTATGAGTCTTAACGAACGTGTTCTCGGTGTACTCTCGTGTCGTTATGTGGATGAGGTTGTCTTGGGCGCCCCATATGAGGTGACACGCGGAGTTATCGATAGTCTTAATATTAGTGCAGTCGTTGGCGGAAAGACATGTGATGCGTACGGGTCTGTGGACGGACATGACTCGTATGCCGTTCCAAAGGCGATGGGTTGTTTCCATCAGGTAGACTCGGGATGTAGTCTTACAACCCGTGTGTTGATTGATCGTGTTATGACGAATCGAGTGGCATTTCTCAAACGACAAAAAGAAAAACGAGAAAAGGATAAGAAAAATGCTGAGCGAAAGCCAGACATGTATAAGAACGTGAAGGAGGTTTGAGTTAACGGACAGGCGTGGATGAGGGACATATCATTATATACGAACCTTAAAAAAAAAAAAAAAAGAAACCAGAAAAACAAAAAAGAAACGAAGAAAGCGTAAGAGTGTCAATAGATGACGTTCTACCATAAGGCTTACTTTTTCGTAGTACAACATTGCTTGTTTTTTTTTTTTTTTTGCTTGTCTCCCTCAGCATAGAAGGCTCATACATGCGTGAAAATACATTATAAACGGATTGATCTTCAGGACTCATAGGAGAATGAATGGATGAAAGAAAGCGGGATCGATGAGGTGTATGCATAATCTCGCTTTAAGACTCGTTTTTTTTTGGTGTTTGTATACGTTTTTGTTTTTTTGAAGTTTTCATCAATCCTTTTTTTTTTTCTGTTGTTATTATTTCTTGTTTTACGTGTGCTTCTTGAATTTCCTGCTACCATGTGCAAACACATATTGGATATAATAATAAATAATGTATTATGTACGCATATATCTGCCCCCTTTCTTTTTTTTTTTGTTTAACGTATAAAAATATATTTAATGACATCTACTGAAACATTATCAATAACAAAAAGCGTAATATGAAACCAATGATTCTCCCGTACGTAGATTCTGCACCACCAGGAGAGTTTTTACTTCAAGCAAGAGCCCTGGTGAAGAAAGAAGCAGTAGATGAGGATAAAGTATATAGTGAAAAAATCCAGTCTTTGCAGGATCAGCAGCGAAGTCATATGGAGGAATATAACTTATTCTGGAGGGAGATGCACACTGTGCAACGAGAGCTTCATTCATCTTTAGCATCACAAAATTCACTTATTCTTTCTAAAAAGCGTTCTCGTTCAATTGACACTACCGCAGACTGTGAAATACTACGTTTTGAAGGAATGTTAACGGAATCACTTAGTTTGGAATTGATTTTACGTTTCTGGGATGATCGATATGGGAATTGTACGTTTGCAAGAATGGCATTAGAGGCTCTACAGTCTACACAAGAAGCGTTACGCTTTACAAGAAGACGTATAGAAGAAATTAATGCACTTCGTTTTTTGGAACAGCAACAGTGCGCAAAAGTGTTGTCTGACAAGAAGAAACTGGCATCTAGGCGGCTTGAAAAGATTAGCGCATTAGAAAACCTTTTGTTTAAAAATGAAAAGCGGTGTAATTCTTCACTGCTAACTTCACTCGATTAAGTCTGATACTCTACAGATATATGAATTTGTGATATGCATTATCTCTATAAGAATTTTGGATGAAATATTTTCTTTCTTTGTTTATATTCCATCTATGTACGAATGCTCTTTCTTTTTTTTTTGTTTTCTTTGTTTGCTTCCTTCTTCCTCTTTCTTTCTCTCTCTGTGTGTATTATGTATGCTTTTTTATTCTTTTTTTATTTTTTATTTTTTGTTTTGCTTCCATGTTCTCAAAGGTGGTATCCCTATTGTTATCATTGATATTTAGTTATTATTGTAGCCAGATCCTTGTAGTGTGGGGCTATTGGTCATTAAATGGAGCCCATAGTTGTTGCCCGTCACGAAGATCACAACATCACTTTGCCGTCTGGTGAGACGTTCCACGTTGTGCTGTTTGGCGGCAGCGATGCGGAGTACCGCGAGCGCGGCGAGACTCCCCCGCCGGTGGTGTTCTGCGTGCACGGGGCGGGGATGAGCAGCGCGAGTTTTTTCCTCCTCGCCACGCACCTCGCGGAGGCGGACGGGGCGAACGGCGTCGTCCGCGTGGCGGCGTACGACATGCGCTGCCACGGCGACTCGACATTTGGCGGCGGCGAGGCGGGACTCACGCGGGGCGTTTTGGTCGACGACTTCCGCGCCCTCCTCGCGGCCGCCCGCGCGACGCTCTTCGCCGACACGCCGCGGCTGTACGTCGCCGGCCACTCCCTCGGCGGCTCCGTCGTTGTGCACGCGCTGCGGGACGGCGGCGTCGACGGCATCGCCGGCGTTGTGCTGCTCGACATCGCGGAGGGCACCGCCGCCGGATCACTGCGGCACATGGACGCGTTTCTGCGCGACCGGCCAACGAGATTTAACGACGTCAACGCAGCAGCGCAGTGGTTTCTGCAGCGCGGCGGAATGCGATCACCAGCGGCAGCCGCCATCACAGTTCCACCCCTCCTCAAACTCGTAGAAGACGGACACCTTGAGTGGAAGTCTGATCTCGCCGCCATGTCGTCTGTATGGTCCGACTGGTTCGAAGGGTTAGATGACGCATTTGTTAGTTTACCATGCCCAAAACTTCTCTGTCTTGCTAACACAGAGAGATTAGATGTGGCACTCACCGTAGCCCAAATGCAGGGGAAGTTTCAGTTAGAAGTGCTCGGTAACGGTTGTGGGCATTATGTCATGGATGATCAGCCTGCTGCTTTGGCAGCAAAGTTGCGTCGTTTTATTAAACGCATCGAAACTATGTCAGAGATACTTCGTCTTAATACCAAGAAACCACTCTCAACAAACCAAGCAAAGACACCCTCAGATGAAGCTACGGCCGCAAAAGAAGTTTCGAAACCATAGTATCCTACCTCTTTTACACTGCTCCTTTTTTGTTTGACATCCTTCTTGTTTTTTTTTTCTCTCTCTCTCTTCGTATATATATATATGAGTGTCGGATGTACTCTCTTTCCGAAAAGAGGAGAAAACAGCAAGTGGGAGGGTATGAGGATATGTACTTTAATGGTTCATCGTTACCAGGTTTTTTTTTTATCATTATTGTAATAGTCAATTCATATATTGTTGATGATGATTATTATTATTACTACTACTAGTTATTGCGTTTTTTTTTAATTTTTTTTTTGTTCATTTTTTTTATTTTTATTTTTCCTGCTTGTGATATTTCTCTTGAGAATACTAGTTGACAATGCCTCAGGAGAGGGCAAGTGGCCTATGGCGTTCTGAAGATATGGTGCGACTAAATATCATTACACAGCGTGAGGCTTTCTACGATACTGTTGTCTGCATTGGTTTACTTGGAAAGGCACAATTTGTTGATGTCTGTGGTGATGCGACTGTTTTTGGACGACCCTACACAGCGGAGATTCGTCGATGCGATGATTTAGATCGAGAATTACGTTTTCTCATGGAAGAGTTTGAACGAGAAAAGTGTTTGACAGAAGAAGATGTCTTACCAGTCAATACAACGGATGATATTTGGTCTCTATTACACAGCAGTCCGTTGGACGAGGCTGAAGAAAGGATTAATGCTATGACTTCAGAACTACGCGCTGTTAACGCGTCACTGGAAGAACTTAGACGCGAAATAAATTACCATCATGAGTTGTATTTATTACATCTACGTCTAAAGGAACTCTTGCCATCACAGCAGGAACAATCTCTTACAGAACTTCTACAAACCCCATACCTTATTGGAATGATAGATGCGACCAAGACAGAAGTATTATATGCTATGGTATATCGTGCAACCAAAGGTAACGCTTTTGTGGAGCTTGATAATAAACCTGCCATGTTACTTGATACCACGACAGGCATATCATGTGTTGCAAAGACATCTTTTATTATTTTTACTCCTTCAGTAAGTGCGTTTAAAGGGGTAGAGCGATATCTTCTTAGTCTCGGTGCAACACTTCATACAATTGGAAATGCTTCACTTGAGGCAACAGAAGATAGGAAACAGGCGGCAGATGAATTAAATCAGATGTATGAAGAAGTTCAATCTCGGAAACGAGATTTACTAAAACAACACGCCCGAAGTTATTTTACTCTCCTTCAACTTATTAAAATGAGAAAACGTGTTTTTTCAACCATGAATCTTTGTACTGTCTCTGGTGCGACATGCACGGCTTCTGTATGGATTCCTAGAAAGTACGAGGATGCACTACGTGCGTCTATAAGGAAAGCATTACATGTATCATCAGGTGAAGTTTTATCAGTAGTTACACCTCATGCATCACAAAAAAATCCACCTACATATTTTGAAACTAATGCTTTTACGGAATGTTTTCAGGGTATTGTAAATAGTTATGGTATGGCACGATATAAAGAGGTAAATCCAGGTGTATTTACTATTGTGACATTTCCATATCTTTTTGGTATTATGTATGGAGATATGGGTCATGGTATGCTTCTTCTTTTTTTTGCCCTCTTTTTTATCGTAATAGAGATAAAATGGAGAGGTCATAAAAAAAATGAAATGTTAGCTATGCTTCTTAGTGGACGCTATTTACTATTATTAATGGCTCTTTTTTCTATTTACATGGGAGCCCTTTATAATGATTTTTTCGGTTTTTCTATTGGATTATTTTCTAGTGCTTATGTCTGGCCTCCTATTAATGAGCAAAATGGTATGATATATCCACTGGAAAACGTAACTAGATCACATGTTTATCCATTAGGAATTGATGTGGCATGGACAGAAACAGAAAATAAATTAGAGTTTTATAACTCTGTAAAGATGAAATGTGCTGTTATTGTTGGTGTTATTCAAATGTTGACAGGAAATATTCTTTCTTTGCTTAATTATATCTACAATAATGACTATCCAAAAATTTGTTTCCTCTTTATTCCAGAGGTTGTTTTCTTATTATGTACGTTTGGTTATATGTCGATTCTTATCGTTATCAAATGGTGTACAAAGTGGGAAAATACAAATGAAGCACCAAGTATACTGGAAATCATGACAAATTTTTTTCTTCAGCCTGGTACTGTAAACCAATCTCTTTTTAAAGGACAGGCTATTGTACAAATTGTTTTGCTTCTTTTATCTGTTGCCATGATTCCAGTAATGTTAGTAATGATGCCAGTTATTGAAGTCCGTAGGCACCGAAAACGTATGCGTTACTTTTTACATTCCCGTACTGGTTCATTACATTCACTTGGTGAAGATGGAAGAAGACATAACAAACAAGATTCTCAAAGTGATTTTCATGCTGAGGTTGTAGTTTCTCAACCTAATTTATCTGGAACTGCTGTTATAATTGATGAATATTCTAAAAATACAGTGGATGACATTTACAGTTTAAAAGAAAATAGTCATACTGAAGGTGGAAGTGTTGAAAATGAAGAGGAGTTAGTTTCACATTTTGAACTCTCTGAAGTTGTGATTCATTACATAATTCATACCATTGAGTATGTTTTAGGTTGTGTATCAAATACAGCTTCATATCTTCGTCTTTGGGCTCTTTCACTAGCTCACGCACAACTCTCTGAAGTTTTTTTCACATTTGCCGTTGTAAAAGTACTTAGTTTGGATACAACCGGAGTTTTCATCGCTGGAGGTATAGCTATATGGCTTGCAGTTACAGTTGCGGTATTGGTTGGAATGGAGGCACTCTCTGCCTTCCTTCATGCCCTCCGTCTACACTGGGTTGAGTTTAACAACAAGTTTTATGCCGCTGATGGCGTTGCATCAGAGCCGTTTGATTTAATGCAACCACAGGAATAAGATTTTTCTCCCTTCTAAGAAAGAGTTTTTTCTTTTTTTCTTTTTGCTTTTTTTTTTTTTTTTTTAATCAAATTTCCTCTTTTCTATGTTTCTCTCTTCATTTATAGACATTTGCCCAACTGCAGATACCCTCTCTCTCTTTCTTTCATTTCGTGATGCCAAATATGAGGCCATCACAGTAGTCAATTTCTACCAACACATTTTTTTTTTCTTCTTTCTTTCTTCTTCTTCTTTCTTCCTTTTCTTTTTCTCAGTAGTGTGTTTAGCAGCCATCAACTCAGCAGAATGCCCCGACTGGAGCTTGACGACGGCACCTACCCCGACTTCCGCGTTCCCACCTTCACCGCCCCGGAGGAGGCGGACGACAGCGGGTCCGAGCAACTCCCCTCCACCGAACAGCCGTGGGGCTCAATGTCCATCGTGCCGGGCATGAGCACCATGGAGCTGCTCGAGGCACACCGACAGACACTATCACAGATGTATGCCGACAACAAGACTGAACTGCACAGCGTGACGCTTAGCCGTCGACATATGCAGCCTCCCGATTTGTACAGGAGTATGATTATAGAGGGTCTCTCGGATTCGCTTGCAGGTTACAACTTCGGTATTGAGGGTTAGATGAGCATGCTAAATTATGGATAAATTCCCTCTCTGTGAGGGGCGTTTGTTTGTATATTTGAGATGTTTTTTTTTTTTTTTTTTTTGTTTCTTTGTCTTCTCTCCTACTGCTCTGTTTACGGTAAGCCTGTCCCCTCCCATGGCTTAATGTTTAAATAATGGAAAAAAAAAAGCGTGGAATGAATAATTGAGAACATGAAGCTTGCCTAATGAGATTTCCAGTGCCCAATTATTTTTACTTTTTCATAGAATTCTTCTTTTTGGGGCTTCTTCTCTGTTAACAGGGTCCATAGAAGAGAGCGGGGATCAAGGAGAATATGTTGATGTTTTTTTTTTTTTTGTTTTTGTTTTTCTTCAGAAATAGTTCATTTATTTTATTTCATCATATTACTCCTTTTTATTCTATGAACTGTTGAACGACGAGAAGCAATGTTTCTTTTTTCTTTTTCTTTTCTTTGTACGTGCCTGGTGACTGCGTTGCTTCAGTCATTTCTCAGCTTCCCACCACAGTTGAACGTTGTATTTCTCCACGTTACTTTTTTTATATGTTTTGTTTTTCTCGCCCTTTTTCACTGCAACGTCATATTTTCTGTTTACATAAACCTCTCCAAATAATACTCTCCTTTGTTTTGATTCCCTTCATCTCAATTCGTTACGGTAAAAGGAGAAAGGTGACTCCTCTGTTGTGCAACAGTAACAACACGAGAGCAAAAAAGTAAAAGAAACAAAGTAAAAAAAAAGAAATAAAGGAGAAAAAAAAAAAAACAGATTGAATGAACGTTTTTACGTAAAAAAAAAAAATCTTATAGAAGGAGAAGTGAAAGTAAAAAGCAAAAAAAGAGAATGACGAATACTGCAAAGAATAAAATAGAGAAAGAATAATACTGAAAATGCGGTAAGGCGGATATTGAACATTGTAGAGGGATGAAACCAACGAAAAAGGTTTCAAAGTGAAATATGGGAAAAAATTAAGGAAAAGAAATTCTATGAAATAAATTCAAGGAAAAGATCAAACTGAGCCCTATGTTTTTTTTTTTTTTTTTTCACCTGGTATTAATTGGAAATTGTGAAACCTGACAATGATGAAATGATGAAAGCGATAATGACATTATGGATATTTCACTATATATTCATGGATTTGTTTCCTTTTCCTTTTCCTTATTATTATTTTTTTTTTTTATTATTATCTTTTTCTGATCTTGTTTTTTTTTTATTTGTTTTTCTCCACTTGTTTTTTTTTTTTCAACTTCCAGAGATATAAAATAAAAGGAGGAGATTGCAGGTTCTGTGGGTCATGCTGCTTGAATTGGTATTAATCCTTCTAGCGATAGGAATATATTGGGTATGGGTGGTTCGTCCGACATCAACTAACATATATCGACCCTACAAGGTGGTGCGGGGACCACTTCACGATGTACATGCGGATTATATAGTTGTGGGTGCTGGACCTGGTGGGATTGCTGCTGCTGAGTGTCTATTACAGGAAGATAAAGTTAAATCTGTGTATATTCTTGAACGTGGTGTTGATCCATCCTCTAATGGACCATTTAGTTCTTTCATTGGTCTATTTCAGATGCACAATTTAATTTCCTATTCCATAGATCTTGTGGGATCACATTTTGATAGCAAATGGTACGTTTACCGTCCGTTAGATAGCAATATAGACAGCAATACTAGTAATACTGATAGCAAGAGTTATGATATGCCTCATCTTGTACCGTATCCGAGAGGTTGTGGAGTTGGTGGAACCTCAATTTTAGATTGGGCTATTTATCAGAAACCACTCTTGGTAAAAACAGGTTTAAACCATCAAAAGTGTTTGGATGTTCCTCATACCTTTACTGTAGGTCGAAGTCCATTATCGTGGGGTTTTACAGAATCTGCAGCAAAGGTGCTGAAGAAGAAACACTTATCTACTTTAGAGGAACCACAAGCTCGCGATAGTGTTTTTCCTGGTCTTCTGCGTCTGGACAAGGATGGACGTCGTCTCCCTCTTTCACACTTCATGTTTAGGAAGGTATCTCAAAAGTTGACTCTAGTGGAGTCTTGTGAGGTGATTGGTGTTTCTCTTAATGATGAAGGTATTGTTACGAGTGTACGATGTAAAACATTGGATCGTCAGGAATTTTCAATTACAGTTCGAAAGGGTGTTATTTTCTCTGCTGGTGTAGTAGGTTCCGCACGCCTTCTTCGACAAGTTTTTCCAAAGTTACCCAATGATTTTATGGTACGTGACGCTCTTGCTGTACCACTTCTCTTTCAGGCACTTCCTGGACTTTCAGATGATAGGAAAAATCTTCGTTCTCTTCAAGCATATTTGGCATGGTGGATAGGTCGACGAGGTCCATTTCTTAACTCAGTCTGTGATACTCTTGCTGCTGTTAGTATTCCCTCATTGGGTAGTACAGTTGAAGTTGTTATATTCTTAGTTCCATTAGGAGGAAAAGACCGAGTCTTGTACCAACGTCTCGGTTTAGATAACATTCTTGGGTCATTTTCAGAGGGATTCATGATGTTGCTAGTGTTGCGTGGTGTGGATGGATGTGTCTTTAAACTACACACAGAGAAAATGGTAGATAATTCAAATTTACATCAGAGCGGCGAACCTGTCATTTCCTCATCACTCTCTTTTCTATCTGAAATGGTAGTAGAGAAAGTAGTGACTGCATTCATGGAGGGTATTCGTGTCTGTCGAGAAATAGTGGCAGAACGTCCCCTTGCCTCACTCTCCACTCGCCAAGAATCAATTGATGCAACTTTACTGGATGACCCTAAACGAGCCATTCAATACGTTAAACTGTGGCACACTCCAGCAAATAAGCTTACAGAGCATCAACGAGTTGGGGCACCTTCCTTACTTAACTGGGCAAGGGAGTACTCTAGAAGTAATGAGTACATGAAGGCGTATATCCATCGTCATGCAACTTGGTTAGGGTTTGGTAGTGGTTCATGTGTGTCATCATTAGCGGATGAGGAGAGTTTGCGGGTGTTGGGAACACAAAATGTGTTCATTGGGGATTGTTCAGCAGTGACGGAGAAAATGTGGAAAGCATCTGGCTATGATGTACTGCGTGCTGGTTCTGTCTCTACTGCTATGTCTATGGGAGTAGCAGCGGCAAAGGAGTTGCTATCAATTTAAAAACATAAAAAACAAAAACAAGATGTTTTCCCTACACATGATATGAATTTGAACTAGAAGGGGATGTGGTTCGTCTGGTTCATGAATTGATACACTGTTTTTTTTCTTTTGGTATATACATTATCTGGGGAGAAGGAGGTGATGGAAAGGGAGGAGTAAGTGTGTTATCATAGATGATGATATGTTTTTTTTTTATATATATTTGTTGTGCTCGTTACTCTTATTATTTATTTCTTAGTATATTTATTTATTTTTAAACCTTTCTCCCTTTCTCTCTTTTCCTTATTCTATTCTACTCTTAGGGTCATGTTAGAAAGTGATATTGTTAGGATATATTTATCCTTTTAAAACTATTTTTCTCTTCTGTGTAGTGCAGCATAAATTATTTTTCTCTTATTTCCTGGTGAAGAATAGAAAAGAGAAAATATAATAAATCCTGTGCACTCATATCCTTTCATTTGATTAAATTAGAGCAAATAAAAAAAAAAAAAGACAAAACATATTAGAAGTCCTAACGGGTTCCTCGTGTGTGTGTGTGTGTGGAGAGAGAGAGAGAGAGAGAGAGAGAGAGAGAGAGAGAGAGAAAGATGACTATCGAAGGGGTTGCGGAAAAATCCTCTATAGATATGAGCGATCGTGAGCTTGCTGTGGAGATGCAAAGAATCTCCGATATTCTTGGCTCTGGTAATCATACTACAGCTAGTGGAGAGGATTGGAATAAACGTCTTGAAGCGCTAAAACAACTTTGCACACTTGCTCGAGAGGATATATCGAAACGTCAAGGATTTCTTTTGCTTATGAGTACATGTGTGAAAGTTCCACTCCAACGACATATTGAGGAGATTCGAACTGCTTTAAGTGTTAATGCATGTGGGGTGGTTGTGGCTTTCGCAGAACATTCGAGTAACCGAACGGCTTGGCAAACAATGACGGAGTGGTTTGTGCCTTCACTTTTGTTGTTGACTATGCGCACTAAGCAAGTCTCTGTGAAGGCGGCTACAGATACTTTGGAGGTGTTGGCGAGAACAAATAGCTTTGGTTTGGGTGCCTTTACTGAACTTATTCGTGGCTGTACCGCTAAACATTCAACAACGCGCAGTAGTGCATTTCGTGTGGTTCAGATTATAATTCAGCAAAGTCAAAATGACGATGATGAGTTCCCTCTCTCTAAACACATAGATACAATTTCTAGAACTCTACGTTATGGACTAGTGGATGCAGATGCACAGACGCGTAAGTCTGCACGTGATTGTTACTGGGCTTTCCATACATCTGAACCAGAAGCTGCAGAAACACTATACAAGGGACTAGAAAACCCTGTGAAACGTGCATTAGAGCGTGAGAAGACTATCTCTATTGGAAAGAAAAAAAATGTTACTACTACTACTACTACTACTACTACTACTACTACTACTGCTACTGTAAAACCAGTTATTGTGAAGGTGGCCGATGGCAATGAAGGTGTAAAAGGATTAAAAGAAACAACACCATTATCACGAACACCACAATCAACAAAAAAATCTGAGTTAGCTGGTACTAATACTAATACTGAGGTTCGTAAAGGTTCAGATATTAATGCAGCGGCTAGTTGGGCTTTATTGCAGGATGCATTGCGAAGCACATCGTGGTCTCAACGATTACGTGGATTACGTCGTCTCTCAGAGCAATTTACATATCTTCATCATAAAAATGAATGTGTAAAGTTACTCCTTCCACGACTAAATGATCCGAATCACCGTGTAGCACAAGCTGCAATTCAAGCAATGCAAGTCGTAATGCGTTGTTCACCTGCTCTTTTAAAGGATGAATTACCAGAATTGATAACGGCTCTTCTTGTAAATCTAAGTGGAAATAAAGAAGTACTTTCAAATGCTTCTCGAGAACTATTAGCCAGTATTATTAAAATGAGTTCTGTGGATGATATTGCACATGCCATATATCGTTCTCTTTGTGATATCGTTGCCCCCAAAGTAAAGGTACATGCATTAGAGTATGCTCAATACCTTTATACACAGAACACAGAACATTTTGCACAGATAACACCGATGAAACTTGCAGTTACCCAAATTCTACTAGTATTACAGAGTGATAAAAAAAAAGGTGATGTATATAAGGCAAGTGTTTCTGCTCTTACCACACTGTATGTTGTAGGTAAACAAACTTTTCATCGAGTCTTAAAACAACTTACGACTGGTGAAAGGGATACTGTTGTAGAGGCACTTGAGATTGCTGTACCTCATCTTGTACAGGAATGTAGACGACGATCTTTCGGTGAAAGACCTCTGCAACATCCTGTTCCACATGTACGTTCACCATTTGCAGAAGCTCTGGGGAAACGTATGTCAGGATCATCGCCAACATCAGGGACAAAATCAGAAAAATCCAAAGCTGTGCGATCTGTACAAGTTACACCAACTTCCTCTACCGCCAAGAAGACACCTCAACATCATAAAAAAGAAAGAAGTTCATCTCAAGTATTACGAAAGGAGGGTGGAGAAAGTCCAAAATATCTCACTACAGGTGATGCTACTGGTGGTGGTGGTGGTGGTGGTGTAATACGTTTCTCTACAACTTTAGCTCCATCACAACATCGTGAGTCATCAATGCGAACACCTAGTTATCATGATCCTATTGCCCCTGTCTCATTACCTCTTTCACGGCGTTGTGTAAATAATAATAATAATAATAATAATAATATAGGTGATGCAAGTGATATATTAGATCGACTTGATGAAGCATGTGGTGCCTTGGATACTTGTACTTTTTTAGATCATATTAATAATATGATAGCAACAAACCCCAATCCTTGGTTAGACGTTTTTGGTCGTCTTTTCATGCAACTAGAAAAACTTGTTCCTCAATCTGTAGAACCCAATCATTCTGTGCGGCGTCTAGGACTTCTTATACTTCAAACTGCAGTTGGAAGTAAGGTTTTAAGACGTTGTGTTAGTAGATCGTTGAAGCGTGTCCTCCTTTTAACACGTATTGGAATTGATGATGTGTTTCCTGAAGTACGAATGGAATCTATAGCATTGTTACAACTTATTTTAAATAGTGGTTTATACCCTTTAGATCATTGTTTAAATGCTCTTGCTGTAAGTTTAGAGACATGGTTTCGTGGTGATTCTGATTACTGTAGTCATGGTTGGCTAATGTTATTAGAGTCTGTGGAGCAAGTCTTTAGACGATTAGGACGTAGTATTGTGTTAGTTCAGAATAAGTGTGACGAATCCCCAATTTCACAAGATACACTGCCGGGAATTATAGGAGAGCCAGTCTTTCATCGATTATGCAGTGTAGTGGTTCGTGCAGTGCAGCACAGTGTTTCTGAAGTTCGACTCACTGCTGTTCTTGTTTGTGTTTCTATCTGGATGGCATTAGATAATGTCGCTCTACCATATTTTGTAGATCTTACGGCATCCCAGCGTAAACTTATCTCAATATATTATAACAAAATTGCCGTTGAGCAAATGCCAGGTTTACAAAGTGTACCTCCACAACGTGATATGTCACGTGAGATGCGAGTTATGGGCCTACCAGAAGCTATTTGTATCTAAAGAGAAGAGAAGAGAAGAGAAGGAATAAGTTTGTAAATTAAGATTAGATGGATGGATGAATAAATCAATTGGTAGAAAAGACATATATATTATTAGAAAGAAAGATATTTGTGTAATTTATTTTGATTTTCTTGTTGCACTATTTTTATGATGATGTGTAATGCTGTATGCATGCGCATGTGTCCATAACGAAGTTTTACCTTTTGGGAAAAGTGGATTTCTTTTTTAAATTAGAAAAAAAAAAAGATTCATAGTTTTTGTTCTCTCTGTTTTTTCTTTTCTTTTTTTATTGTTGCTATTAAAAATTTTTTTTTTCTCATCTTTACTTTTATTTGTAGCCAGATCGAAGAGCCAACCAATTTATTACGTTAATAATCTCAAAAATAGAAAAAAAAAAAAACTGCGAAACCTCAAAATAAGAAAAAGAAATCGAGAAATAATCAAACAAAGGAAATGTCTTACCTTGTGTATGCAGTGGATAATGCAGACCGACTCACTTTGCTCGGTCCACCCACGCCTGAGGGGGGACCCAATTTGAAGCAAATTGCGTTGAGTTATATTCATGCACCCAAGCTTGCGAGGCGTACAACCGGTGGGGAGTTTGGACAAGAGGAACCTTGTGCGTTTGAAGCAGCGGAATTAATGCGTACCACGTTTATTGGAAAACCTGTTAAATTTACAGAAGATTATGTTATTGATGCACTTCAGCGACGTGCTGGGCGTCTAACACTGGTAAACGGAGAGGATGCTTCAATTTTGCTTCTACAAAATGGTTTTGCAACACTCCCTGAGCGTATTCCTCCTCGGATGGATAAAGCATTGTTTTCAAAGTACACTGCACTCATGAACGAAGCTAGAGCTGCGAAGAAGGGTATATTTGCTCCTGATGCCGCACGACATGTGCGTAAACTAGTGGAATTAAACTCAGAGGAAACAGTAAAATTGGGAACAAAAATAAAAGGAAAGGAAATTCTTGTACGTGTGGAGGAGATTCTCCTTCCGACTATCCTAATGGTCTCAGCTGAGAGCCTTGGATCTACACATATAGCAGTTCATATGCCGGGTGTCACTGTAAAGGATCCGGACTGTATGTCAGTCTCAGCTGCCGCGAAGTTTCACACGGAACGTTACTTACTTCATCGCAAAGTGAATATTCTCTTTGAAGGTGTTGATAGTTTTGGTAATATTCTGGGTTCTGTTACCTCATCTAAAGGTGTCTTTCAAGTGGAACTACTATCACGAGGACTTGTTAAACTTAATGGGTCAACATTGGGATTTACATCTCACGCTGAAGAATTTCAAGCTGCAGAGAAGAAGGCTAAAGAAGGTCGACTTGGATTGTGGAAAAATCATGAAGAACCCAAAGAATCTAAAACACTTCAGGTAAATTACGGTTCTGCAGCATCAGCTACCCCTGGACTTCCAGTAAAGAATGTTAATGGTAATAATGGACCAGAATATAAAGGACCTATGATGTTTAATGCGGTGATTGTGCAAATTATAAATGGTGATACTATCGCAGTACGTGTGGAAGAAACAAATGAAATTATTCGTGTTTCACTTGCAGGTGTGCGTTCTAGCAAAAATGTAACGCGTGAACAAGATGGTCGTTCTCCAGAGACTCGTGTAACATATAGTGATTATGAATGGGAGGCGAAGGAATTTCTTCGAACACACTATATTGGTAAACGTGTGGTGGTTCAAGTTGAATTTGCGCGACAAATACCAGAAACAAAAGAGGTAAGACCAGTAGCTCTTGTAACAGTATGTGAAACCGGTGAAAACATTGGCGTATCACTACTAGAGACAGGTTATGCTACTTTTTCTCTTGGAAAGAATGATATCTGTTCAGCTGCTTCCTTACTACAGAGTGCTAATGAAAAAGCTTCAAGTGCTCGTTTGGGTATTTATAGTAAAGTTAATGCTCCTGCAGTGAAGGTTGTGGAATTAAGTCATCTTGGAGTTTCTCGTGGCAAGTATTACCTAAGTTTTCTACAACGTGGTATGCAGGGAAATCGTCCACCTATGTTAAAAGGTGTGGTTGATGTTGTTATTGGTGGTAGTTCTCTTCGTGTTTATATACCTAAGGAACACTTCCAAATACCTGTGAAGGTTGCAGGTATTATTACTCCTATGGGAGCTGTAAGTGGATCAGAAAATCCTGATCCATGTGCTGAGGAATCAAAAGCTTTTGCTGTAAGTTTATTACAGCAAATGGAAGTAGAGATTCAGGTACATACTGTTGATAAAGTGGGTAATTTTATTTCTACAGTTTATCTTCAAGATGGCACTAATTTTGCTGTTGCTACAGTAGAAGCAGGATTGGGAACAGTAGCTAATGCAGAACGTTTACCATATCTTCAGCAACTTATTGATGCAGAACGAAAGGCCCAAAGTGAAAAGAAGAACATATGGGCAAGTAATTCAACAATTCCCCAACGAGCTGCAAAATTAGAAGCAGAACGAAATGCTAATGGTATTAAATCATATACTCGTTCTACTGGACCACGTGCAGAATTTATCTCATATACCTTATCGGAAGTGGGTGATGATGGTTATTCTGTTTATTTGCAGGATAATACAGAAGAAGCGGAGAATATGATGGCTACTCTTCAAGATCTTGCTAAACAAGCTTCAACAATTGGTGGTGAATACCATCCGAAGCGTGGAGAATTGGTTGTTGCACAGTATAAAGCAGATAAGACTTGGAATCGTGCTAAAGTTCTTCATGCGAAAAAGGATGATGAGATCGTGACTGTACTTTTTGTTGATTTTGGAACAAAATCTGAAGTACGTGTAAAAGATATTCGTCATATTCCTCGAGGTCCAGAGTTTGCAATAGCGCGTGATACTGCTCCACTTGCACGTTTGGTATCTCTTGCATACTTGAAGAAGAAAGTTCCCTCCCAGGAGAGTAACATTGGTTATGCCTGTGATACTGTATATGACTATACTGATGGTCCTGTAATTGCGAAGGAGGTCTACCATGACGGACAGGGAAACCTCTATTACACAGTAACTGTTAATGAAAATGTTGCTTCACTGAGTGAGACCCTGTTGCAGCGGGGGTATGCATTGCTTGACAGTACTGCACAGAGTGTTGATCCAAATGATTATAAGCGTCACGAAGCCGCACAGGCAGTCGCTCGTCGTGGACATAAAGGGATGTGGCAATATGGTGATATTGATGATGAAAGTGACGACGATTGACAGGGGAAGCGGATCTGAAGATGGTGACAATGATGATAATGAAGAAGAAGAAGAAGAAGAAAAATGCGGAAAAAAAAAAGAAACTGAGGGGTGAAAACCAACGTTATTGCTCTATCTTCTTTTTTTTTTTTTATATAGCTTCAACTCGGTAAAAGGTTATTTCTATCTTGCTTATCATTCGTGAGTCTTTTTGCTTTTGGTCCTAATTAATAATCCACTTTGATCATTGATATATGTAGGTAATTGCAGATACACGTTTGTGTATTTTTTCATGCATGTGTGTGTGTTTGCATGCATTTTCATTTTCTTTTGCCATGTGTGAGTAATAGGGATGATAATTCTTCTATTCGGTGTTATCATTTTTTTTTTTGTTTTTGCTCCTTTGGTTGGTCTCCTCTATTTCTTTCTTTTTACCTTTTTTTGCTTACACTATCTGTCTTTGTCTCTATTGTTCTTTTTTAGTGCAACTGTTTTCCCACGTCATTTAACCCTTTTCTTTCTTTTTTTCTTTCTTTGTGTGTGCATGTTTAGTTGTCTGTTGATTTGTTGAGACCCCACCTGTGTGGAGACCGTTGGCCCTGCCCGATCCCCCGCAAACACCGCAGATGTCTGCCGTCCCCCACCTGCAGAAACAACTGCGGGAGTTGACCACAAGTCCCCCCGCCGGCTTCCGCGTGGAGGCGGAGGATCTCTTCCTCTGGACTGTCTGGTTCGCCGGCCCGCAGGGGACCCCGTACGCCCCCGGCATTTACCGCGCGGAGCTGCGCTTCCCAAAGGAGTTCCCCATGGAGCCGCCCGCCTTCAAAGTTCTCTCCTCCATTTGGCACCCCAACGTCTACGAGGACGGCAGGGTGTGCATCTCCATTCTACACCCGCCCGGCGAAGATGAGATGAACACGGAGGAGACAGCCATGATGCGATGGACACCAATTCAAACAATTCGCTCAGTGCTTTTGTCTGTCGTCTCTCTTCTGAGTGACCCTGATCCAAAAGATGCTGGTGCCCCAGCAAATGTCTCTTCACTGGTTCAGTATCGTAAGGATCGCAAAGCATTTAATGCCTACTGCCAACAGCTAGCACAAAAGTCACTTTCGGAGCTTCCACCTGGTTTTGTTCCACCATTACAGGAAGACCACGTAGAACCTCCTGTTAATTTCGTTCCTACTATGGAAATGGAATATGAGGACGAATCAGAGACGGAAGCACATGATTCTGCTCATTGCTTTAGCGATGAACTTCGTCAAATTCGAGATATGGGTCTTGCACCTGAAAAGTCAGACAAAGAGTTGCTTAATATGCTTATAGAAGTGAAGGGTGATGTTGCTACACTAATGGAGCGGTTAATGTAACATTTCTCTGTACACCTTAAAGCCTAAAAGAAAGAAAAACAAAATGGGGATGAGGTGTTGAACGAAACAGATTTCAATGGAAAATTTCTTTCTGAGTAGTATTCTCTTGCTTCTTAACTATTTCTAAACAACAAACAAAAAAAAAAGGACTGAGTATCTCATTATTATTATTATTATTATTATTATTATTATTATTATTATTACTTTATTTATTCGAATGTTTCTATTTCTGATCTTTGCTCAGCATATTAGAATTTTAATTGGTGTCTTGTTTTCGTCACTGTGCTTGCATGTGTGTGTCTATTTCCCTGTGTATGAGAGAGAGAGAGAGAGAGAGAGAGAGAGAGAGAGAGAGAGAATTTCTCAAGGTGTTCCATTTATGTACGGACTTCCACTGCAGGGTGGATATGAATCCTATTTGTGGGAAGAGAGATAAGAGAGAAAAAAGTAAAAAAGAAAAAACAAAATAAAGAAAAGAAAATTAAAATAAAAAGGAAAGAAAGAGATTCCTCTTTTGTGTGCAGAGTCTTTTTTTCTTTTTTTTTTGTCGACACAATCTTTTTTTTTTTTTCCTTTACTTTTCTTTTATGAAAAAGAATGACAGCAGACGGCATATGTGAAGATAACCTTTTGAATTCAGATACCTTTTTTTTTTCTTTTTGCTAGTTACTTCTTCTTTTTTTTTTGATTTTTTGTTTTTTGTTTTCCTCTGTATTTGTTCTTTTTTTCTTGTTTTTGATCTGCATGTCTCTCTTTCTTTTGTTTCTTATTTAACTCTATATATGTGAAGGACACTGGGTTAAGTTACTCATTTCCAAGAATGACGTCCAAGTCAAAGAAAGGCTCGATGCCTGCCTACAGCTTTGCTCTTGGTAACGGAACCAGTGGATTGCCTATTTGGGATGAGGTGCAAGTAATGCAGGAGAACTGGGGTGGTAATATGGGACTTCCAGCACGAAAAATGAATGCAGTTGTGGAGCTTCGTGGTAGTGAAGGAAAGATAGTGGTTAAAACAAATGAAAATGACCACAACGCATTTAGAGAATGTATTACATCCTTTTACAGGACCGTTAAAGGAGGCCCCTCAACGGAGATTGCGGTAAATTGGAAACGTCCTGTAGATATCACCTCTCCGTTCCGTCCAATGGTTCATCGAAATACGACACCTTTTCTTTCTCCATATGATAAGGAACGAAAGATTTTTCAGAGTACTGTAACAGAAACGGTAAAGCAAACTCCAGCACCTAGTGGGAAAAAAGGTGATGTAAAGTCTGTAGAACAACCTGTTCCTATTCATATTCAATTTCCAGAAGTTGTTACTGTTTTGGATCCTCTAACACTTCAAAATGGAACAAATGAATGGGAAAGTATATCCGATAAGGATGCTATTGAACGGTATCGTGAATTGCAACCTCTCATGCAACCATATGATCGAGGATTACAATATGGTTGTGCGGCTACACCAGTGGAAGCATGTGGGTTAGAATATAGTACAGAACAGCGACATAAACTAAAAGAGATAGATAATATTGCAGAACTTCCTGATGTTCCACCTTTCGTGATGGATGCCTTTAATAGTGCTATTCGATTTATTGAACATGCACAAAGTTCTATAAAAGAGAAGGAATATTTATGGGAATTAGTTTATCCACATGCCCCTGGTACATGTCATCCTGTTTATAATCCTTATGGAAAGTATGTTGTACGACTCTTTATTGATGGTGCTTTTAGACAAGTTATGATTGATGATTATATGCCAGTGGATGCACTTGGACGATCTTTTTTAACCTTTACTTCACAAAAAGAAATTTGGCCAGCACTACTTGCAAAAGCAATTTTTATGGCTCTAGGAACAAATCGTCATTTACTTTTCACCGATCCAGAGACGATAGTATCATGTCTTAAAGGAGAATGGGTTCCACAGCATATTAATCCGCGTATTCAACCTGCAATGGCATGTGCCTTAACATTGGCATATCGAAAAGAACTTTTAAACAGCGATACCCTTACGACACATTTTTCAGCTTCTTATACTGGAGGAAACACAATTATTGGTGAACAAGAACCATCCTTGGGAAAACAACAAGACAGTAACTCTCTTGAAAAATCAGTAGAAGTTGCTACTACTAGTGTTACTGCTGGTGGTGGTACTGCTGTTGGTGGTGGTACTGCTGGTGGTAGTAGTGGTGGTGGTGGTGGTGGTGGTAGTGGTACATCTGCTTTACCAAGTTGCAATAATTCTCCAAGTGAAGGTGGATTGCTAGATAATTTATATAATTCTCCACATATTATATCTGCTGTTGGCACTTTTGAGGATGGACGACGAAAACTTTTTGTTATTCGTGAAATTGTTTTATTTCGAGATACTTTGGCATTACAAATATCAACAGATCCACCTTCAGATATTATTGAACCAAAACTTTTAATTGCAGATAATGAAGATGAACTAGTTCAAGAATTATTGCAATTTTCATCTTATGTTGAATTGGGAACAAACCATTGTACTAAGGCAGTATCAAATCAGTCATATATCTGGGTTACATTTGAAGAGTTATCAGAAAAGCTAGATCTTGTGGTTTGGCAACAACTTGGAGAAGAAAGCCCTTTTCGATTTGTTAATCGAATTATAGGATTGGATGATACGGTTACGGCAGCTGGACACTCAAAGAAGAAGGGTACAACTTCCGTACCTTCAGGGGCCTTGAGACGTGATACTGTGCGGTGGATTCATATTAATTCAGAAAAAACAGAACAACTCGCATTAGTAAGTCTGGGAAATTTTTCAGTTTCTCCTCTAAACGCGTCATCAGGAACCATAGCGGCAGCAGCAGCTGTAACAGAAAAAACATCAAAAAAAAATCGTCCACCATCTGTTTCTTCGGAAAGTCGACCAATATTGGCACAGTCAGCGAATCCTTCTGTAGACTACAAGTTGCCTCAAGAGGAAATAAAGGAAGTGCGTTTCGATTTATACACATGGGATCGAGGTGATACATGGAGCTATGCAGGAAATTTTCAATATGAATCTGGTAAATTACAATGTTTAATTCATACTTTTCCTCCTGGTTCACATATTTTACGTGTTACAGCCGTTGGACTTGAATCTCAACAGTGTATCGGTTTTCTTTCTACAAAAGAATTTGTCATGGGTGAAGAAAAGGATGTTTTTCGTTCTTCAAATATTTTTAAAATAACTGATGCTGGTGCTTTTATGGGAGTAGATCGATTTAATGAAGAAGTCATCTGGTTTAAACGATTGTTCACAGTAAAAGAACCAACTACAATTTCTTTTGTCGTATCCACACTTGATGCTAGTGAAGATCCAGCTACGCATCGAGATATTCCTCCTGCGCTGATAAAAGAACCAAGGGGAGCTAAGGTTCGTGTGACTAGTACAAAGACAGTACAGAAAGAACCTACTGAAGAGGTATCACGACGTTCACTTGATATCCCAATTATTCCTTTTTGTTATGTATTGCTTATGGATCTTGACAATGGTACTATTCGTTCTGGAGCAATAGGTCGCCTCGTACGCCAGTATTTAGAACCAAATCAGCATGGTTATCTTGTAATGGCATATGCTTTAATTGATAAACCATCTGCAGAAGCTATAACAGGGGGAAATCCTATTAACTTGGTATCTGAAACGTCCCCTTTGCAATTATGTGAAAGCGTTGCTTCTTCTACTAATGAAGATAAAGATAATAGTAGCGCACGTGATAAACCTTTACAATTATCAGGAAAAGGAAATTGGAAACTTGCTATATCTACAGATCGAATGTTTGATTCATACAGACAAATGCCACAAAATGTAATTTCTTTTGCAGAAAAAGGACATCTAAAAAGAGGAAGTCGTGCCCTACTTTTTTCCTACACCTGTACAATAGTGGAAAAAACTTCCTTTACCTTGTTGCTTGATTTAGATGCGCATGATCCTATTCCTTTTTGTATTAAAGTATTCCGTAGTGGTGTAGAAGCACCACCTGTTTTTGTTTCAGATACTTGTACGAAACATCTCTTCCTTCCGCATGTTACACTTGAAATTGGGGAAAAGATGAAAAATATCAGTTATAATATTGAGGCATGGTTAGATGCGACAAAGGTGCAGGAATGGGAGGAAAGGCGTCGTTTAGCGCAGGAAACAAAATTTCGTGAGATTCGTCAAGAAGCTGAACAGAAAGCATATGAGAGACAAGAACAAGATATTAAGGATTATCAAACTGATCCAAGCAATTTTATTGAACGACTTGAGCAGCATGCTGCTGCCCAACTTGAACTTATTGCCGCGTCTTCGATGAAAGAAATTCCGGTGGCTGCTGTGAAGAAGACAAGATCTAATGTGGAAAGACGAAAAAATGTCTCCGGTGCGGGTACAGCTGCAGATAAGGTGGGTTCTAGTCATTCACTTATCGCTTCTCCAGTTACCCCTGCTAAACTTTTTCTTGATACTACAGATGAGTCATTGGTCATTACTTTTGACTTGCGTCTTCAGTTTTCGGCAAAAGTGGATGTTAAGAATGGTGCACCTCCAAAAGATCCTTTAGCCACTTTGCGAGCCATGTGGGTTCCACCCATAGAACCCGGTACGCATGATCACTCCTCCCCACATGCCCCACGTGCTGGGACTCTTAAAGGAAAGCAGCGGGAGACGACCCCCACCACGGAGGATCTTCTTCGCGCGGATCAGGGACGTCTGAGCCGGCAGCGGTTCCTCGACAACCCACGCGATATATTAATTCCGTACTTGACAACATCCCACGAGGAGGGCGGGGCCACCACCCGCGTGGTGACGGACGTGGCGCAGGAGATCAACTACCACCACGCCCCCATTCTCCCCGCCTCGCAGTACCGCCGGCGGCTCCTTCCACTTCGCGCGGCGGAGGTCCGGCCGCCCTCGAGTCCGACGCCGCCCCCCACCGCCACCCGCGACGCCTCCCGCGCCAAATCGCCCGCCCTCCGCCTCGGCGCCGTCAGCCCCAACGCCGCATCTCCCCTCCCCGCAGAGGACGACGCGGACGTTGCAGAAGTGAGAGCACCAGTGCAGGAGTTCCTCAACCGCCTCACGGACGATCTACGACAGGCCCACGAAAGACGCAATGGTGGACGTGAGACTATTAGGGAAGCACTCCGACACTACTGGAGCGGGCGTCAGCAGGATCCCGCTTTGCTTTCCTTGCTTGGACCGAGGGAGGAGGATAATGGTAGGCGACGCAAGAGTCGCCTGAGAGTAACGAATTAATGTAGGGGAAGAAATAGAGGTAAAAAAAAAAAAAAAAGAACAAGGTAAAAGAAACAAAAAAAAAATGTACAGTGTGTTTTTTTTTTACTATTATTTTGTTTTGGTCCATCTTTATCTGCAGAGAGGTTTTATTATTATGTAGATAGCAAAGAAATGGCGCGGATGCTGTTGAGTCATAGCGTATTATTTTATGCATATGAAAACAAGCTTCTGGTACGTTTGTTTGTTTATTATTATTATTATTATTATTATTATTATTATTATTATTATTATTATTATTAATTTTCTTATGATATTTTATGACTGCTTTAACTGTAACAATACGCCTGTACATTGTTTTTCCTTCTTTTTGCTATTTATTGTTTTTTTTTTTTTGTTTCTCTTATACACTTGATTTGTTTCTTTTATTAATTTACCTGAACAATCAAACACACACACACACACACAAGCAAAAATTAATAAAACCTGTTTTGACGGAACCAGTAAAAGAATCAAGTTGCATCGTTAGCTCTACTGGAGAAAAAAAAAAAGAGAGAGAGAAAACGCGAAAACAAAGGTAGATTCGATATAGAAAAGGTTAGAAACATAGAAGAAGCTTCATTTGTTTTTTCTTGAAAAGTCTTCCCAGTACTAGTTAGAGACTATTACTTCTTGCGTGTTTTTTTTTTTTTTCCCTTGTGCTTTCGTTTGCAGCTGGTTTCCGCGTTGTAGCAGTTTAAGCGGTAATAACTGTGTTTCTTCGTTAACCGTCGTGTATTGTCTCATTCCCTTACAACAACAACAACAACATCAACAAAAAAAGAATAATTGGTGCGTCATGAACGACCCAGTTGGAGGGATGAATGTTGAAAAGCTTATTCAAGAGAGGGTTAACATTGATTCCATGAATCAGGAGTGTGATGATTTTGGTGATGTATTTTTGTCGTTGCGCGATATTGGTCTAGACGACGATGACGACAATGTTGCTGATGAAAACATGGAAGGGTACATTAATGTAATGCCTACAAAGCCCACAAAGTTGGATCCAAAGGCTTTGGGAACGCTTGATGAAGCACTACATACGAATGTCTTTGATTGCGGATCCCACATTAATTTCCTACAATTCTGTGGAGGACAACAACAACAACAACAACAGCAGCAGCAACAACAACAACACCAACATGTACCGGGTTGCACAGAGTCACGTGAAAGTATCAGTCCCCTCTTCGACCCCACTTCACATTCGCACGATCTCATTGGTTCACATCTGAAGAATACACTCCCGCTTCCGCCTTTTTCCCCGACAAGTGATTTGGGAAGACCATCATCACCGAGCGACTCTGGCAGCCCGGGAGCGACAGTGTATGCATCCATTGCAAATTCACCACTGCATGGGAGACCTCTTGACTTTCGTGTTTTTCTCACAAAGAAACAAGTACCTCCATCTATTGCGAAGGAGAATCCAATTGGTGTATTTGTGGGACAGCTGCCTTCGACATACTCAGAGGAGGATACCGCAGCTCTTTTACGTGCCATCGGTGCTGACGCTAATGTGCCTATTCATGTCCAGGACGTAAAGAGCCATAATCAGAGTCGTACTTGTGCTTTCGTGTTGGTGAACAGCAGTGCCTTGCCAGTACTCCTTGGATATTCGAAACGCATCCTTTGTGATGTATCGTGTGTATGGGTGGTTGAACGTGAACAAGCTCCACATCTAAAGGATTATGTCAACAGTTTTTCGCGTGATCGTCTACGTGGTGTTCCTAAAGCTGCCTTGGTACTTGAGGAACTTACCCCCCAATACGTCAGAAACCGAACATCAAGCAGTAAATGGAGTAAGTTTGGTAGTAATCAACATTCAAACAGTACATCAAGAGTAGTACCCGACACCGTTATTTTGGGAGCCAACGATGAAAGTTCTTCTTCAATTCAACCGTCTACAATGCCCATGGGATTCTTTTTACCTGGGTGGAATTCAATGGATAATTCCACATTACCTTTCCGTGGAGTTTCAGGTATCACTGGTAACGCACCATTTGTAAATCCTTTACCTGGTTCTAACATGTATGGTTTACCACAGGGGAATATCTTCACAACACCACAATCACCTTCAGTTATAAATTCTACACCGCAGGTCAATTTTTATATGGTGGCTGCTCCTACAAATGGGTTTCACCCGGTTTTCTCTGGTCAACTAGACAACAATACTGCGGCAGGACGAGTAGGTAATGGTGTTGGAACAGGTGCTTTCAATAGTAACGGCAGCAGCGGTGTGATGAATGATAATGGCAACAACACTAAGAATACGATGGGAATGGGATTTCAATCCACTGTACCGGAACTGCGTTGTCGCTGTGGAGCACTGCCTTCTCTTCTTCAGCAACATGATGCGGCATCTTGTTCAATGTGTTTGGCCCCTGTTGGTGCGATGGAGGCAGCATATGTGTGTCCCAATGATCGTACACTGATATGCATGCGCTGCAGTAACTGGCGCTTGGGAATGGGAATGGGAATGGGAATGGGAATGGGAATAAATGAGAACCAACTGAATACACGAGCCATGACATCTTGCATCATTCCTCAATCAAACTTCAATGGCATTCCCCTCTCAACAAATTCAACAACTGCAGCAACGACAACAATGGGAGGAATGGGAATGGGTAGAAGCAATCCGACACTGTTTGTACACACACTACCTTCATACCAGCCACAACAGATCCCACAGCCACAGTTGATGCCACAAATTCCACTTCAGCAGGGATGAGAATGTGAACGCCGGTCACTTCTTTTTTTATGGGAGCACGACGGATGTACACAAATTGTGTGCATACTTTTTTTTCTTAGTTTTTTTCGTTTTTTTTTTTTTTTTTTTTTTTTTTTTTTTTT